GTTTTGAAAGTGCTTTAATTTGGTACCTGTCCGAAGCCTGTATCTCTAACTGGTTAGGAGATATCGAAGATTAAAATTTTCCAACCTTTCTCCGTTGATATCTCCGCTTCTACTGGTAGTAGAGAGTCGCCATTTACGGCATAATGTAGGATTTTGGGAGGATTTTAATTTGGTGGCAGAACCAGGCCTGTATCTCTAACCGTTTCGGAGATATCGAATGTTAAAGTTTTCCTGCCTTTCTCCGTCGATATCCAGCCTTCCTCCGTCGATATCTCCGCTTCTACTGGGAGTAGAGAGTCGTCCATGTAGTCGAAAATGTAGGGTTTTGAGAGGACTTTAATTTGGTGCCAGAACCAGGCCTGTAGCTCTAACCGTTTAGGAGATTTCGAAGGTTAAAATTTTCCAACCTTTCTCCGTTGATATCTCCGCTTCTACTGGGAGTAGAGAGTCGTCGATGTAGTCGAAAATGTAGGGTTTTGAGAGGACTTTAATTTGGTGCCAGAACCAGGCCTGTATCTCTAACTGTTTAGGAGATATCGAAGGTTAAAGTTTTCCAACCTTTCTCCGTTGATATCTCTGCTTCTATTGGGAGTAGATAGTCGTAATTTACGGTAAAATGTAGGGTTTTGAGAGGACTATATTTTGTTGCAAGAAACAGGCCTGTATCTCTAGCCGTTTAGGAGATATCGAAGGTTAATGTTTTCCAACTTGTACCTTTGATATCTCCACTTCTACTGGGAATTGAGAGTGGAAATTTATGGTAAGAGTAGAGTTGGTATTGGACTACATTGTGACAAGTTCGCTTTCCTGTATCTTGAACCGTTTAGGAGATATAGTAAGTTAATATGTTTAACTTATGATATTAATATCTCCGTTTCTACTGTGAATTGAAAGTCGAGCTTTATGGTCAAAGTAGGGTTGATGTAGAACTATATTGCAAAAGGGTCCTGTATCTTGAGACCTTTAGGAGATATCGAAGGTTAAATATGCTATCGATGAGGTTCGCTTATAACTTCCATTTATCTCAAGAGCGCTTCTCGGGAACATTCCGTTCGAAAGGTTTGTCCGCGATAAAAAGTTTCTTACGATCTGTGGCCGCTGTTGTTTAAAGTTAAATGGCAGCAACAGTATTGTTATTGGTCAACCCTGAGACCGGCTGCTAACATCCATTTGTGACGTGTGCCGCGCCTTTGCGATTACCGATAAATTCAGTTTTCTTTATTGGTCGCGCGATTTCAAATGGTCATAATATATGGCGAGAATACATGGCAATATATGGGAATAATATATGGTAATAATATACGGCAACAATATATGGCAACAATATGTGGCAACAATATATGGCAACAATATGTGGCAACAATATATGGCAATAATATAGAACAATAATTCGTGGAATATATTTTTCGTTACAAGAGTCAATGCAAATTTGCGGCATGCACAATGTAATAATAAAAGTAATAATAAAGTAATAATAAAAGTTCTTTCTGCGAGCTTTGAGTCAGACACTCACCAATGGTGATATTGATGATGTCCTGTTGCATCCAACCAGATCCACCAATGTCCGCCCATGTCCGCTGCCGCTCTCCATGTCGCGCAACATCCATCTTGCAGCTCGTCCCACGGATGCAGATCGCTTCACTTTCATCACACTTCCGCGACGCGGTCGATACGTGGTATTAGAACGGCGATATTTACATCAATTAACGAACGTTTTACTCGCCATCGGTGGAAACTTTTTGCGCGCTGCGAAACGGACTCTATAAACTCGATCGGCGAGGAGTAAGAACCGTATGAAAATTTATTGACTCGTCCAACGGATTTTTACGGTGCTTTTCGCGATTGCGTCTGAAAAGTCGCGAAAATGTGGGATATTATCGATATCTACGAGTGAAATATTCGCGACGCGAATGCACGCGAGGAAAGATTAGACAATCAGAAACCGGTCCCCCTTAGGGAGCGCAAAGAGAGAGGAGCGGGGCAAAGTTTTCACGCATTATAGCTCTGTCACGACGAAGCTTACGTTCGCGATACTTTGGCGAAATGAGAATTTAAGTTTTCTTTGTTAGCAACGCGAGTAAAAACGCGTATATTGACAACCACGGTCGCGATATTCAAAGGTACGCGAGCGAGGATACCTCAAGCTCGGCGTGCGCTGGCGCAATTTCTACGCGCATTATACGCTACTCGAGACAATAGGGATTGTGATGAATGGACAATATTGCTAAATAATTCTACAGCCTGTTTTGCAAATAAAAGAAAAGTAGCTAACGATATCGGTATTTAGGTATGAATATATTTTATACGGACAATTGAATATTGTCAAATAATTAAATCGTTAAGTAATTCTGCGGCCCGCTTGAAAAATAAAAATAAAGCAGCTGATGTCGGTGTCGCGTTTGTACATATGAATATTCTCTTATTCAGATGACTGAACATCAAAAGAGAATCATTCAGTATTTTAAATCTTGTAATGCAGGCTATCGATCAAGTAATCCCCTGATTGTTTCGAGCAATGTATTTTATTCAACGTCACAAATACACACATGCAAGTATCTATTTGCAATTCGCATTGACTCGAACGATATTTTTTAGTCCCACATCCGTCATGCAGAATTTTGTTTCTCTTTTCATTTTGACTCACCGAAACGACTTGCAGTCAGAGCCGACCACGTTCCGCTTCAACTCTGTAACAAAAAATTCACATTTGCTCATCAGATTTGACCAACGAGTGCGGGCGAGTAAAAGAGTAGTTTACCCTCTGTGATCGTAATTCAAGTCGAGCCGGAAATTATATCCCAGCTCTAGATCGCCAAAGGTCAAACAGAGGACTATAGTAAAGTTGTAAACTTACCTTCAAGCCGACTCTGCTTGGCCCGAACCGGATCCTCCGGTGCGGCATCCGCGTCCACCGGATTGCTGTTGCTTTCCGTAACAACTGAAACAGAAAAATAATTTTCCCGGTTGATAACCTGCGGTAGAGAGAGAATATCTTTGATCAGGATCAATCGAAAATACGGATATATTTTGATATGGAATTTTTATCTTTATATTTTTGTTCCAACATTGAAAATTTTAATGGGACTTGAAGCTTTCAAGAGAGCTGATGAGAGAGATGATAAGAGCAAGTTACAAAGGCAAAGATCGTAAAGAGTTGAACACAGATGTGTAGGAAACTTGTAAAGTTTACCTTCCGGCCGACCCTGCTCTACCCGAACCGGATCCTCCGGTGCGGCATCCGCGTCCGCCGGACTTGCTTCCCGCAACGTCTGGAACAAAAATTTAGCGTTCTTGGTTGGTAAGCTGCGGTAGAGAAAAAATGGTTGGTCGGGATGAGTGGAGAATATTCGCTACGATTTTTTTTCTTTATTGACATTGAATGTCTAGATAGGAGCTCTTGAAAGAGCTGACGAAAGAAAATGACAATAAGAAGCGGAGAACAGTTGTGTGCTCTCGAAAATATTCTTTTACGGATGGACATTTAAATTCAGATCCCGTAACAAGAGTAAACAAACTTGAAAGAAGCGCTGACCGAAAACAAAAAAGGTCGCAGTCTAAGAAGCGATATGACGTTGAATATTCTACACAAGACCGGTATACTCACACAATTGGGAATTATTCAGAATGTTTGATCGAGAACATGATGAATTAGAAATCCGCGTTCATGGACCGTTATCCGTCTCTGTCTGGATCAATATCTTTTGTATACAACAACGCAATAAATAGATAGACAGACAGAGATTGACGAGAATAATTGCAGATTCATAAAGTTGTGATTACTAGTCGGATGATGACGGATTGTGAATGCCGAGCGCGAAATTTCGACTTCTTATTCCCGGAAAATTCGTCAAACGTACGCTCTCGTTATCGGAGACCTCCCGCGTAATAAATGATTCCACATACCTGGAAACGTGACGTATCGCTGCCGGCGTTCTGCTTCCCAACTGCTGAAGTCCTCCGGATTTCACTCGCTCACGCTTCTAATGCCGATACTCGCGATTCGACCGTGCAATTAATGAATGCGATGCCGACGCGATGCCGATTGAGTATCTCGAGGACCGACGAGATATATTTCTTTTAATTAAACGAGACGGAAGTGACGAGCGCGTCGCGCACGGCTGCTGTTGATGAGAATGAGGTCGAATACACGAGGTGCGCGAGTATTATAATACGAAGAGCAAAAAGTATCGTCGCTCGCGAGCCGATCAACACAATCGGCGCAATTTAAACATTACGGACCTCGGCGGCGGTTGAAGCAAGAGAGACTTGCCCTTGAGCGTCTCTCAGTAAGAAATAGACCAACCACAATCGATTATTGTAATATATATTATAATATTATTATATTATAATATTATTTTATTATTATTATTATTATTATTATTATTATTATTATTATTATATTATTATATTATAATATTATTATAATATTATTATTCTTGCAGCCATTGTAGATGGGCCTTTACTGTTCACGCTTTCTTCTTACTGCTTACGGCCATTGTAGACCACGCTTTACATGGGAGAACGGTCAACTAGAATGCGTTCCGTTTCAAGCATATGTGCGCATTTATCTATAGTTTATGTCACATATACTATAAAAAATGCACGCATATGCGCGAAACGGAACACACCCTAGCAGTCTATAATTATATAGTCAAAGGTGTCGGTTGAAAGGCCGGTGTGGCCGCTCTCAGGTTTTTCTCTGGTACAAATTAAAATTACAGTTGATTACAACTACAAAATTTCAATTGATAAAATATTTATTAAATCATTTCATTATCATCACGTTTATCAAAGTTATCCTCGGTTGAGTTTTTGGTCTATTTTAAAATTATCTTTTAATTTTTATTTATAGGATATAACTCATAAAATTAATTTATTTATTTCAAATCAATTATTTAAATGCATTTATATCTTTATCTGTTAGAAAAAATAAATTTAGGATCAAATACGATGTCAAACGCATGGTAAACTCTGTACGCTCCACATGTATGTATTTGATGACGTAGCTGCTGCGGCCGCTTGCATTCTGTCAAATACGAATTATCCTGCTGGAGACTTCGCGATGCGAAGTGAAAATCGCGATAGCCGAAGATGGGTTTCTTGGAGGATACTTTTGTGATTCTCGTAACACAGGTGGAAGTTCGTTTCCACTACAAAAATCAGTTTTATTTCTGAGACCGGTTTAGGTTATGAAGAGAATATATGATGCTGTTATTACACAATGTATTACGAAAAAGAAGAAATAGTTTATTTTATTACTGACAATATTTGGTGGCTCAATATAAAACTTGGCATTAACAAATTTCTCGTTTATATATTCTAGAAGGTTTATATATTCTAAAAGGTTGATTGTTGAATCCTTGTAACAATGACTTCTTGTAAATTTTTAATGTGTATGAATATCTCTCTCTGACATGTGATATGTCATTGTCAAAGAAACTGATGATGATTTATGAAGTGTATGTATTTGGATATACTGCAATAAATTTCATAAAGGAAGTCCTGCAATTTATTTTACAAAAATGTTGAATCTAGCTCTCAATCTCATAATTGTATCTTATAATTTATTTCTGAAGAAAAATCATCTAATACACAGACAAAACCTTTTCTAGAAGAATAATGATAGAAAGAAGTTAGAATAAAATCAGAGATTGAAGAATAATGAAGGTTCTTATTTATTCTTTCATATTTCAGGTAATTTTCTTCTTAGGAGGATGGGTGTTCTTTGTAAAGAAACTATTCAGAGATTATGAAGTTCATCATAGGCTAGTGCAATTAATTTTCTCAACAACCTTTTCATTGTCGTGTACCATGTTTGAATTAATTATTTTTGAGATAGCAGGTGTACTCGACTCAAGGTAAGATATAGAATCTCAATGTATCTCTCATAATATAACACTCTGCTTATTTTAGTTCTAGATATTTCCATTGGAATGCTGGCCTTTATATGCTTCTGTTTATGGTGATAGTACTGATCCCATTTTACATAGCATATTTTATTATCAGCAATATCAGATTTGGTAATGTATTCCTGAGTATTTTTTACATGATATAATCTCTACACTCTCCTATTGCTCATCTTTTTTATTGAAGAACTGAAACATAATGAATCTATTCTGATCTGTGCAGTAAGACTGAATCTAATACGGCCACTGACAGTTGTCATATACCTTTTCTATCTTTATCTGTTCTGGAAAGTGGGCGATCCTTTCCCTATATTAAGCCCCAAGAAAGGATTACTGTCCATAGAACAAGGTGTTAGTCGAATAGGAGTTATTGGTGTAACAGTGATGGCTCTTCTCTCGGGTTTTGGTGCTGTAAATTATCCGTACACTTCTATGGCTTATTTCATGCGTCCAGTTTCCTATGCGGATGTACAATCGATAGAGAGACGACTGCTGCAGACCATGGACATGATCATCGCGAAAAAGAAAAGAATTGCTTTAGCCAAGAAAGGTGAAGCCGATGGACAAACTGAAGCTCGATCTCGACTTTGGGGAATGTTGAATCCACTGAGTGGTACAAAGGGAAATCAAGAAAGTAAATATCCTGCTATGTTTTAACGCAATCTGCGAGTACGTTTCATCCCAAAGACAGTAATTTATATATATGTTGTCTCATAGCTATCAGACAGTTGCAAATCGAAGTTGCCGCTTTGGAAGAATTGTCCCGACAATTGTTTTTGGAAGCGCACGATATACAAAATGCGAGAGAACGCCTGGAGTGGGCTGCCACGTGGCAAGGAAAATACTTCAATTTTTTGGGGTACTTTTTCTCTCTATACTGCACTTGGAAAATATTTATTGTGAGTGAAAAATTAGTCAAAGACTCGGTTAAAATTTCCTTTTTATCAAATGACATAAATAATCTTTATATCGTACTTACAGTCCACAATCAACATAGTATTTGATCGAGTTGGTAAAAAAGACCCTGTAACTAGAGGAATTGAAATTGCAGTACATTGGATCGGTTTTAATATTGACGTTACGTTCTGGTCACAGCACATCTCTTTCTATCTCGTCGGTTGTATTGTCGTAACATCTATACGCGGATTGTTGTTAACTTTAACAAAAGTATGTAAAATCCGAAGCATATTTATAAATTGTTTTTTCTTAAACTTAAATAAAATGTTTTATATATATACTATTTTTACATAAATCTACTACTTATGTTTGATAAAATAATTAATTGTTATTAATGTATTTTTTATCACATTATTAATCTTAACAAAAACAATCGCTGTAATTTTACTGTTTTCTTTTTCAGTTTTTCTATGCTATATCTAGCAGCAAATCTTCAAATATTATTGTACTTATACTTGCTCAAATAATGGTGAGAACAATGTATTTTTGCAATTATAAATCATATAGACATAATTCTAATGGAATTTATCAGCATTTGAAATTTTCTACATTGTTACTTTCGTATCATGTTTCTAGGGAATGTATTTTGTGTCTTCTGTACTTCTGATGCGCATGAACATGCCGGCGGAATATCGAATCATAATAACGCAAGTCTTAGGAGAACTGCAGTTTAATTTTTATCATAGATGGTTTGATGTTATTTTTTTGGTATCAGCGTTATCGTCGATAGTGTTTTTATATTTAGCTCATAAGCATGCCCCAACGGAACGCGTATAATGAAATAAAGATATCTATCGAAAACAATTACATATATTTTATTATATTTAAGTCTGACAATTGTTTGTTGAATAAATGGTTAAAATAATGAAATATTTTGGCAAGGACATAATAGGAGATTATAAATTTCGATATTTATTTCACGGCCAAATGTGTTTTATTTGGATACATATGATTTTATAATAAATTTAGAGAAATGTATATTTCTAAATTAAATACATAAATGTGTATATGCTCTCAATGTAAAGTAATATTTTGGTTGTAATCAATTATATATAATAGTATGAATTATATATCAATAATGATATATATATCATATCAATTATAATATACCGGAAATATTATATACTTTGTTCTTAATTTTTTATTATAAAAAACAAAGTTGTAAATTACAAAGGACAGTACTTGTATAAACATTCCCGAGCTTCACAATATTATGCTGTTTAATTGCACATCTGATAAATGCTGCAAGCAAATTTTTTACCTTGCGAAAAGAGATAACAATCATTTCACTCTCATAGTAGCTAAATTTTGTGTTCCTATTTGTTCTAATAGACATAATAATCCGGATCACAGCTGAAATATGTATAGTATGTATAATAAAAAAGAGTGGCATTATCAAGTATGATTACTGAATCGATTATGAATGAAATCATAATCCTAACGCAATAATTCAATAGTCCATTCTTCGCCCATATTTACAGCTGGTTTACGTATCGTTAATACATTGTTATTTGGATTATACTTAGTCTCCAGAGTTACTTTTCCCATACCTATAAGAAAATTGTATATATTATTAATTAATAAAAGTGCATATCTTTATAGAGGAGATTGATGTATCGTATATACGATGTGATGACTTACTGTGAGATTCCAGCTGGGCAGACTTGATTCCTTGAGGTGGATTGGCTATATCTATTCTTTCCAACCAGCTTAGTGTCTCGTATGAAGCTAATTTATCTATTAGGGTCGAAGTTATCTTATTGCCAGTCAAATTTAGTCTTAGGTACAAATATTTTCCATGACGATATTCAAAACTGGCTTCATCATCGATATATAGATTTCCACTAGCTCTGCCATTATTATCGGCGATTACTATTAGCGTGTAAGGATCATTCTTCATAGGGACCGTACTACGTCGTATCCTCATCTTTCGTGGAACAATAGAACCACTCTTTTGGAATACAGGAACCTTGTGGATCGTTACCGGCATATTGACGTATCCTGCTTGTTGGTAAGGTTGCATCGTATCGATATCGTACCACGCCAACTTGCTCTCTCCTGGGAAGTAAATAGACACTTCCGTGGCACCTGACTGGAATACCGGACGTACAAGTATAGAATCACCGAGCAGTAAATGATCATCAATGGTGAAGGTTTCCGCTTCGGATGGATAGTGAACCCATAGAGGACGTATAACGGGTGAACCGTTGATTTCGTGTTCTCTGAAGAGAGTGTACCAGAATGGGAGATAGGAATACCGCAGTCTGAGTGCCTCGCGAACTACCTGCGTGGTCTCCTCGTTAAATGTCCATGGTTCTCGTCTCTTTGTTTCTATGTGAGAATGCTGACGGAGGAAAGGCAGCCACACTGCCGCTTGATACCACCTGATGAATAATTCGGAGTCTGGATTCTTGAAGAAACCAGCGACGTCGGCACCGCAGAATGATATTCCTGATATAGCGACCGACAGACACATAGGATAACTCGCACGGAGATGGTTCCAATCAGCCGTGTTGTCGCCAGTCCACATTGCCGCGTAGCGTTGAGACCCAGCGAAGAAAGATCTCGTTAGGACGAAGGGTCTCAAGGTACCTCCTGACCGACGGAATAGAGCTTCGTATGTTGCCCGAATGTACATATGTCCATTTATATTGTGGACATCTCTGTGTTCCCAACCTCCGTAATGAACGAGATCCTTTAATGCTGTTATTTCGGGCCCGTTGAATACACTCGGTTCATTCATATCATTCCAAATGTAAACATCGTTGGTGGTACCATGGAATTTATCTAAACTGTATAAGCCGACGTAATATTCAAAGACCTTTGGGTCGAAGAAGTCTAAATACGACGAGGATCCGGGCCAGCACCAACCCTCGTAATCTTTACCGTCTCGATTCTTAATATAATAACCCAAGCTGGTGGCGTCATTGTGTAAAAAGTAATTGCTATCACGTTTAATATGAGGATCAATAATGACTATTAGTTTTCTTCCTTTGGCAGTAAGATTGCGTATCATATCAAGAGGATTTGGAAATTTGCGTGAATCCCATGTAAAATATTTCTTACTGTCGGTGTATTCGATATCAAGCCACATAACTTCCATAGGTATGTCGTGTGTATCAAAACTTTCGGCAATTGTTGCAACATCGTCTTGATCGTTATAATTCCAACGAGATTGATGATATCCCAGAGTAAACATCTAATATACATATAAAGGAAACGATAAGTCTTAATTGGTAAACATCTCATACTTTGAAAAATTTTACACTTTGTTACATTTATATTTCACATACCTGTGGCAAAGGAGCTGTACCAGTCAAAATTGTGTACTGCCTAAACACATCTAATGGCTTTGGACCTAACATAAAGAATACATCGATAACTCCAGATTCAGACATGAAATGAGCATCCACTTGGGACTTTTTACTAGATCCAGATACGAGATTAACGATGCTTTCTACAACGTTATTGTCTGCACTTAATAAAATATCTATCCAAGTTTCAGCTGTGTTATGCCAGAAAACACCCGAAGTTCTTTCCTTCCTGAAATGTCATACCAATATATTATGTGCAAATATGCTTTCCTAATTCCTAGAGAGTTTGTTAGTTTGTTCAGCGATATTACCCATGAGCATAAAGAACCGGAACAGCGCCGTACAAAGCCATACGTTCATTTGTTTCATACTCGAATACATCTAAATTATACAGTCTGTATGGATCAGTAGATTTGGTTGACCGTAATGCTAATGAATCAGCATGTTCTGGCACACCGTATGCGTATTCCGATCCAGGAAAACTGAAATCCATGGCAACAGCCTCTGGCCCAAATGGTTTGGCATCATGATGTTCCTTGAAATTTTCTTCCCAAGCACCAGGATCATTATCAGCACCATCACCAGGAAACGTGCTATTATTTATCTCCACAGCTTCAGCATTTTCACTTTGTTCTGGTCTGTGTAATAACATATGAATGATTGATAAGTTTATATCTCACGAAATTTCAAGTAAAACAATAATTATCCTCCAGCGGTATATACCTTACTGGTTTAGTACGCAAATGCTCAAATCTCATAAGGCCGCGAGCATTTGCTGATATTGCTAAAACACCTTGAGAGTATAAGTCTACCTTAAATGGATTAATGTATAAAATGGCTTTATTTTCACCCTTTGTTACTGTTATACTCTCAGCAGTCTTTTCCACAGAATCCAATTTTACTGTTTGCGGCTGGTCATAAAGTGCATATTCATTTTCATATCTAGGATGTAGCGGGTGTTTCTCATTAACATGTAACCTAAATGTATTATCCTTCAGTGAGATAAGTTTCACCACATAGAAGATATTTGTATCCTTATTATATAATTCTATGGTGATCATAAATTCATTCTGTATAAGAGTTTCTGGTAAAAGTTGATATGGTGTCTTTCCAGGTTCCTGCTTTCTGCAACGTCTAGAAGGTAAGAGAAAGAAAACAATAATTATATCTATGTTTCCCAAGAATAACAACAAAGCCTACAAATACAATTGATACTTACCGACAAAAACTGCTCTGATCGCATCTTTTAAAGTTGTCTCGGTTGACTGCGTCGACAATAAATGGAGAACAAAGTAATACTAAAAATAGAGCCAACCTGAAAAATTCATAATCATTGAAGGTAAATCGAACTTTTTGCTGGGTATATGATAGAGTACATTCCACATAAAATATCAATTATAATAATATGCAAATGTGATGTTCATCAGTGGGCATTACATTGTATTTTCTTCTTGTTTTACTTCCGGCTTGGTAGCGGTCTAAAGCGGTCTAAAGCGGTCTGCCGCAAACTGCGACCGCAACGGACTATAAAAACGTAGCAATAATCGTTTATAAAACTGTAAAATTCCACTGTAACGTACGGTGGTCAGTATCGTATTCGTTCAGCGACAGATTAGATTAGATTCGCGACCAACTGCGCGGCGTGTTCATTGATAAAAATATTTATATCATAAATAATATACCGCGGGGGGGACACGTCATCGCGGGATCAAACACGGTGCGACTGACGATCGAGATTTATTTATGCTGAAAGACCGGCGAATTCGTCATGTCCGCTGAGACCGACATGAATGGGCGACGTCCCGGACGTGCGCGATAAATCCGTATCTTCCTCGTTTGTGAAGGTTAAAAAGTCAAAAATAATCAAACTCACCGCACGTACGAAGCCATGTTGAGAAGTCGAGTACTGCGATATCACCTTCCCGCTAACCAGCTTGATTTCGTGCACGATTGATTTTATAGGTGGCGGTACCAGGCTCATTATTGTGGAGGCACACTGCAGCAACTTCATGAAAGTCGCCACGTAGTTCGATCAAGATTCACCAGTGCGCTACTGATGTGACACTCCAAATGAAAACAATTGTATCAAAATAAGAGACATTTACGATATTGTAAGTTGTTTCAAGACATTATTTCTCATTTACGTCGCCGAAATAAGCAAGAAAATTATTCTAATTGCATTGCCCGTTTCTTAATAAATATAACTTTCCCCACGTCACAACTGCCTTGAAGTTGGCCACACATTTTCAAACAAGTCTATTTGAAAATATTCGTTCGACTTGCATTGCATTCAGTGCAAATGGATGTGGCGAGCCGTTACGGTCTGTCACGTCGCATCGGTTGATTATATGTGTATTTAAAGTTTCGTTTTGCGCGTTTCGACACAGCATGTGTGAGAATTTATGAATCTCTGGTGGCATTTGGATCTTCAAAAGTTTCAGACAGGTAATTATCATTGTTTCTCGCATGTTGAACATACGAGGCCTGTGTTATCCCAGACAGCACCGGACGTGAATCCAATGGATGTACGTTTCACGTCCAATTTATGTCCGTATGTCCACGTCCGTGGACATAAATTGGACGTAACAAGGATGTCCTTATTGGACATCGGACCTGTAGGACGATGTACGTCCATCGGACGTCCTATGTCCGAAGTTGTGACAAACGTACGTCCTATGGACGTCTTTTGTAAAAAAAAAATGGACATATAACGGACGTCCTTGTGGACATCCGTGTGTTGTCTGGATATGCAGCGCAATATAACTCATATATATGTTTTTGGGACAGGAAATCCACGGCTTTTGGTACTCGAGATTCTATCGCTACTACGTCGATGTGATTTTTCGGTGAGTTTACTATAGATTTTTACATGACGCGGAATCGTTACGAATTTGCATCGAGAGATTTATCGGTTTGATATTTCTGTTTCAATATCACTGAAATATATATAACATGTTTGTCCTTATCGCGCATGTCCGCCATTACACGTTAAATATTTTTATATATCAATATACATACCTTTATTTATACATAAGATTCACTTTTATTTATACATAAATTATAAATTTGACAAGATTACTTTATAAGTCATTAGTGATATCAAATATACACATGTGATGTTTGCTTTTTTAGCACAAGAATTATACAATATTCATATATCTAGGGCATAATATATAACACGTAATAGCGAACATGTTAAAAGGCACACACACAATGATCATAATGGTAGAGTTTATACGAATATTGGAAGAAATATCTTCCTATAATTTATATATACATTCTCATTTTCATCTCTCAGACAATTAAATTAGTTAAAGTAGTTGCCATCTGTCTAAAAAAATTGAAAAATTTTTATTGCACTACATTATGTTAAATAAATTTAAATATTAAATTTAAAATATAATCAGATATAAATTTAACTTTGATTTTTAAACGATATTAGAATAAGTAATTTATTTTGATCAAACCTTATGTAGTGGTTTCATTGCTTTCTTAACTTTGCCTAAAAAAGTGAGGTGTTTATTTTTTCATTAATGAAATCAATAGAAGTATAGAAGTATTTTTAAAACTCAATCGCATCACATATATATATATATATATATATATATATAATGGATTTTTATATTTCTCCATTCATTTTTATGCAATGACAAATTATCTTAAGATGTAGAAACGTATGTTAACAATTATAAAGGAATTTTTGTTTAATACATGTGTATTTGATACATATAAGGTAAGTCGCAATGTTAATAATAATGTCACATTAAACAGTAAGCCACATAAAAATGTGTGCTAAATAATAAATTAAACTGTATTTACTTAACATCGCACATTCAATTTATTAGAATTAGAAGAGTAATGCATTCAGTCGGCAGGGAAAATACATTCCTATGATAATTATGCAATATCATAGATTATAGAAGTTTGGCACTCGGATCAGTTCGTTTTTGATGGATGTAAAAAAGCCTAACGGTTCGTCTTTAGCATATTCATGAATCAACGAACGGGTATCTCTCTTTTTCTCATTTTCTCTTTCTCTCCTTTTCTCTCTCTCTCTCTCTCTCTCTCTGTTTCGATAAAACGTCTTTAATTAGAATCTATCAATGCGTATGCTATCAATCCATGGAACGGTAGTACGTTCTACGCGTGTGTAGGAGTGTGTGTTCGCATTATATATATATATTATATATCATTACAATCGCTATAATCAACATTCACATTAGACTGCTTTATTAGATACGCTTCTAAGATTCTTTTCAAGGAAGTCGCCGTTAATCCACTTTCGGCCAGACGTTCGCTCGAGGATTTGCAAAGTGTACGAAATTTTATTTCGAGAATTTTAAAACAGCAATATTCTCTGATCTTAACAGAAGCAATTCTAGCAAATTATATAAAGTAGACTCGCGTCAAAAGCTGTTGTGGTCATTCAGTGACTTCTAATTAATTTGTGTCATTCGATACCCCAAATGTTACAACTTCGTTTGTCATTGACGTGAAATTTTTATATTTAACAACACGATGCTCGTCGCGACGTAAATCTAACGCTCACCCGATCTCCTCGTATAAATTACAAATCGCGAGCTAAACGATAATTTATAACGTCTATCGCGTCTATCGTGCTTGCTTAAGCATTGGCCGGAAGCGGATTTGTTGAAGTGAGTTCGCGTATAAGGGTAACGTAACGTAAAATTCTCTTAAGAATCAACGAACTCGTCAACACGCCCCCGTCAATAAATTTCTCTCGTAATACCGGAACCGTGCACACACACACATAACCCCGTTCATCGCTTATGAATTACGAACTCGCCGCGCGTCAACGACTCGTAGTAGGAAAGTTCTACGGCCTCGTGTAAAAAAACGGCTTACGGACTTAGACCGTTAACGATAATTCGCAATTTCAGATACGTCGAACAGTCGTGTTATCTGGTGTCGCTTAAGCAAACTGTCTATCGCTCGCTACAGAGACGAATAACGCGGGAAACGGATGAATTGCGCGTCTCGCATAGGCGTTACTACGTAATCCCATGAAAGATAATCGTTGTGACGTTTCGTCGTGAAGAAAACGCTGAGAAACGATGATTCGCGGTGTGGAATTAACGCTATCGACCGACAGTCTCGCTCTTACCAGCGATGCAGTAAACAGTCGATACGACTTTTTTTATCCGTCGTACATTATTTAACGAGAACCATAACTCAACGCGTTTCGTGTCACGCAAAGATAAACGCGATTTGACCGTACCAGCGACCGACCGAACGAACGAACGAACGAATGAGTGAACGAACATGAATTGCCGATGTGCGTTTAATCGCACGATATGAGCCAAGGATAACACTGAGATAGTTGGAGTGGAACCGGATAGAATGAACCGTACACGCGAGACCGTTCGAGAAAAATCAAAGCTCAACTCGGGCAATACAATGGTATAAAAAGATATGTCCAAACTGGAGTACAGTTGTGTTAATATAAATGCATTCGGTTGCGCTTTGATGGCAAGAAACGAGCAAGAGGAGCGCGCGGATGTACAATCGCGCCGTAGATATCGGATCGTTTTACGATCGTAGTCGCAAAGTTCCCGCATTGTTCCCGTTTACTCGATCCTGGCCTTCGTCTATGTAGCTTAAGGCAGAGCGAAAGTTCCGCCTCGGTTTTGATTTCACCTGAAACTTACGACAGTAGGGATCGATAAATGCCATTTTCGTAACTTGGTACTTCTTACTGTTCTAAGTTTACAAAAAGTGTAAAAAGTGGGAAGGGATCGAGAGAAACGTAAAAGAATTACTTTATTATTACGGATCCTTCTGAAGGTCTGCACTCTAAAACGAGCCAGTGAACCGACGGACAGATTTTCCGGTTTAGAATCGAGACTGTGATTTTCACCGGCAGGAATCTGTCCCGACATTCAGCGGACAGAATTGTGATTCGCCGTTTTCATCTGCCGGCCGGGTATATGTATATCGATCTGCCGTAGGGAAGGAACGTTGAGCGGGGCGTACAGGAAAAATCGACGTTGCGATTAGTGGAAAAATGTCAGGCAGAGTCAGACATCTCTTAGGCACATTGAGCTCGTGATAGCGGCGATAGTCGTGACATTCAAGGAGGTTCTCTAGATTTCTGCTTATATCGTTTTAGGCTAGTAGTACACGAGACACTGCGAACTACCTCCGGATCGCGAGTCCGTCGATCGCCGATCGTTCTCTGTCCGATCCGCAGGGTCTCCGTCTAGAAGTTCCTTCGTTTTTCCTTTTCTCTCTCTCTCTCTCTCTCTCTCTCTCTTTCTCTCTCTCATTTTTCGTTTGTCATTCTTCTCCAAACTACAACCGGACGATGCACCGACACGCCGACACAGTCACCGAGGTCATGCCGCACCATCGAAGTTTCATGTCGTTCTCACGTCGTTCACCGTCGATCTCACGCGTCCGTTGCGACGATTCCGGGGTTCGACGAACGACTCTTGTAAATCCCGTCGCAGATTTCACTTTCCTTAGGCACATTAAGTCCGTGATATCCACGATAGTCTCGATACAGTTTGGCACGAAACACATCGCGAGACGCTACGGCTTCCTTCGCATGAGCCGCAACGCGTTCGTCTCCTGCTAGACCCAGTACTGATCCCTCCTCAGCAACGGGTTCTTCTTGGTCCTCTGAGTTGTGGCCGACTGACAAGGTAGATCGGAAGTGTCGAAGCTGCTCCACTCGTCGCCGTCCGCCACCCCGTAAGGATACCTGGCGGAGACGTCGACCTCTGAACCGCTCTCCAGAGGACTCAACGGTATCACCTTGCATTGCGGCAACGTCGACGGTAACACTGGCAGAGGCGTGCTGGCCGTCACGCTATTGTGATCGTTGCCGAAGGGCTTGAGGTGCGGAGTCGCAGGCATTAGATGATCCGGAGGTCTGGGAAGCGGCATTACGCCGACGGCGGGTGTGTTTTCCGGCTTCTCCTCCTCGGCGTGCTTGTATCTGTTGTGCCGGCACCTGATCGTGATGATCACCACCACACCGAGGAGGAACACGCCGAGCAACATACCGAGGATCAGCAGGTAGTCGTTGCTCATGTTCGGCGCGATTGCCATCTCACCCTCGTGACCGACCGGATCCATCGGGCCGCCCAAGGTGATGTTGTCGTCGTCCGTGTCGTGTTTGATCCGAAACTCGAAATCGCCCACCGCCGGCTGGAAGATGGACGCCGCTAAGATGAAACTAAAGCTGTCCGCGATGCCTTCATACTCCATCGAGGGTATTTTCCTGCAGACGAGGTATATCACGCCAGAGACGACCTCCTGGTGCGAGAAACGCGCCACCTCCCGCTCACGTGTGCCTCTCTTCTCGCCGGACGACGTGGAGCTCCTGATGATTCTTTTGACCTTGCCGAACTTTGGTTTCCTCACGATGCTGTAGAGAGGATTGCTGGTCGTTAGCTTCGCCAAAGGTGTCGCGTCCAGGTACCGGAGAGTTATTTGGTTCTTCTCGCCCGCCAATGCTATCATCGGATTCATGATCATGAGCGGCATCACTCTGATGTCCACGCATATGTGCTGCTGCTCGAAACCGCTCAAGCGCGCCGATAGTTCCAGGCTGTCGTTCGACACCGTCATGTCCGTCTGCATAAACATCACGCTCTTCGACAGCAGGTCGGTTTGCTTGAAGGTCGCCGCGGCGTTGTCCCTCACGTATAGCACTCCGTGCCTCGGATGCGTCGTGATTTCGTAGGTCACCAGGTCCTGCCGCGCGTTCGTGTCGAGTTTTATGTTGCTCTCAGACACGAGAGCCACGTTCGAGCCTTGCTGCAAGCTCACCGGCCCGAGCACCGTCACGTTCAAACGTATGGGCAGCACGTGGACGTTGAAGACAGTGTAAGCTGGATTGAACTGACCGTCCCAGACCCTGAAGTAGAAGGAGGCGGCTTGCAGCGGCCCGTTGTGCTCGTACACCACTCGATTGGAGTCCACGTCGTACTGGGAGAACTTGTTCACTTGTCGCACTTCCGAGGTGTTTTGGTCGGAGGATAGAAGCAGCAGTCTGCCGTACGTCGGTCCCGAGATCACGTCGTAGATGATCTCCTCCGGTGGTGTGTCGGGATCGGTCGTGAGGAGATTCTCATGTGTAATGGTCTGATTTTGATTCTGGACGACCGTAATGTACGGGGCGTTCGTGACGAGCTTAAAAGGCTCGTCGTTGACCGGCTCGATGATGACGGGCACGCTGGTGTTGCAGAGCAACACGTGGCCGGGTGTCAAGTACAGGGAGAATTGTATGCGATCTTCTAGAGTGTCCGAGTGGTCGTGGTAGTAAGCTATCTTTCCACCCTCGATTTGCGGCTGCGTGAAGGTAGTCACGTTCAAATCCGGCAGAAGCATCACGTGGCCGTGGCTAGGCTGATGAACCAATCTTGAGAGAACCGCCGGATATTCGATCCCAGCGTTGATTTGCAAGAACGACACGATGTCGCTGATGTTCATGACGACCTGCGCGGATCCACCCTCCACGACTCTCACGTTCTTCGCTAAGATATATCTGTCTAGGCCACCGCTTGAAACCGATATATCTATTTGGAAAACCTGCAAAACATTGGTAAACCATTAGAAGTGAACGACATTCGAGAGAGAGTCGAAATGTTTCGTTTCAGGTATCAGTTATTAGGAAGTTGTCAAGTCTTGGAATTCGCCGGGAGAGCGAACCAAGTAGCTTACTTTTTGTAAGATTGGTAGGAAGATAAGGAACTTTTGGGCAATGAGGTTGTCCACATTAAGCAATTGCTCTCGGCCGTCTTTTATACCTGATTTGTTAAAGTTCCAGCGAAATGTGCTTCCACGTCGAACGTAAAAGAGTCGTTGGCCGTCAGGTCCATGAACTGCTTGGTGTGCTCGTAAATCACTTTGCTATTGTTTATATCTCTCTGAGTAAATCGCTCGACCTCGAGCCATACGCCCTCACTTGTCTCCATTATAACTTTGCCCAAATGGGGTCCATTTCGCACAGTGTATCTAATCTCTCTCGCTTCGTCTGAACACGTCGTTAATAAAAGCCTGTCCGATATTAATTTCCTGGTAAGGGGGAAAACGTTAAGGGGCATATTGTACTCGATGTTCAGACGAACTGGCTTTGTGGCGACCAAGATCGTGTAAGACTCCGTCGTGTGCACGCCGTCGCTCAATACGAAGTTAAACTCGCCGTCGGAGCCATCTGAAAGAGCATCGCATCGTGCTTTACACGTCCGCGTTAATTACTGCCATGCGTGATCTCGTATTTCAATGCGGTATATTAATCAAACGCGTTTATCGCTCAATATTGATCTCGCCCGTCGCTGTTTTGCCTCGTACGTGTACGTATAATTATGCAAAAATAGTTTACGTACACGTTTAGATTAATTATCGAGTGTATACTCATGATAATAATAATCATAGTAGCAGCATACTCACTTGTGTGGGTGAACACCACCTGCGATTCGTTGATTTGACTTTGCGTGAAATTATAGATGTCCGTATCGGGAGAATTAATTAACGAGATGTACCCGTTCCTCGCTCCGGTCACGTTGAACATGATATCCCACGGCTCGGTGTCGTTGTCCACGGCTGCCAGATTCGCGGATGTCACGACGACGGACCCGCCTTGCCAGACGTTCAGCTTGGTTCTGTTCACCAGCACCGGGATCTCGTCGTTGACGGGTTGAACCGTGATCGGCACGTCAAAGGGCTCGCTGGTCTTGTCGCCAGCCGTGACGACCATCCTGAAGGCATCCCTTGGGAATTCATCCCCGTTGTGCCTGTAAAGTATGACCGCGGCATTCAGATGCTTCTGCGAGAATTTCTTCACCTGGGCGTTCTTCGTGGAGTCGACGATCGTGCCGTGCCTCGGCTTCTCCACGATCCTGTAATCCGTCACTTTGCCGGCGTAATAAGGCGTAACTACCGAGAAGTTCGACTCGTCCAGTATCACGCTCTTTCCCTCCACCACGACGAAGCTCTTCGCCTCGACGTAGAGTTTCTCCGGCACTATGACAAAGTTCACGCTCAGGCCGCGCAGCCACGTGATGCCATTGGTCGCGTCAATGACGAAGCGATCGTTCGTTTGATTCATCACCGACTGAACGTAGAAGACGCGACCGTCGTTGATGAGGCTCTGCTCGAAGTGCTTCACCGCGTTGCCGCTGTACTCTTCCTTGGTCTCCTCACTGTGCTCGTCGTGGATCTGCAAGTCCAAGTAGCCGTTCACCGGCCACTCTCGCACGTGGTAAACGATCTCGCTCGGCGATATCTTCGGATGCATTATCTCGAGGCTTTTTCGGCTCAGCAGCACGCTCGTAGCCTCCTCGACGAAGATTGTCTTGTTATTTTGGACGATCAACGTCTCCCAGTAGCTCTCCGGGTAGACCTTGATCGCGAACGCCCCTTCGGCCTCTGCACCTTTCACGTATACTTTGAACTTGAAGACGTCCTTCGTGAGAGATCCACCGAGATGCTTGTACGCGACAGTGCCGTGCCGCAAATCGTCCTCCGTGAAACCGTTGGACTCTCTACCGTGCTTCAGCAGTATACCATGCTTTGGTTTCTCCCACACGGTGTACTTGACGTCTTTCTCGGTGGTGTACACGTTCGTTTCTATCTCCAACTCCTTCGGATGAAGCACCACGGACTTGTTGAATTGGACCACCGAACCGTTGCTCTCGCGCAATCTGATGTAGGGCGGGCTGGCTTGGATCTCAAGAGCGCCGGTTCTGTAAAAGTGACCGTCGCTGATACCGAATTCGATTTTCTCGCGTTCGTCACCGTAATGCCGGAAAAGTATCGCGCCGTCGTTGATGTCCTGCTGCGTGAACTCGCGTATTTGCACCGAGGGATTGGTAATCCGGAATATTCCGCTCTTCCGGGCGTCCCTCCTGGTGTAAACGAGCTCGCTCGCTTTAGTGCCGATGTCCTTGTCCATGTAAGCGAGATCCTTGCTGGTAATCAGTTTCTCGCCCCTCGACACGACGTGGAAGACCCGGTCGACCGTACGTTCCGGCGGATTATCGTTCTTCATGTTAATCTCGACGCGAAATTGCCCGACGTACATAAAGTCCACGGCATCCAGGGACACCGCCACGAACTCGAAGGAGTCCTCTTTCGTCTCGGAGTCGTCGTGCACGTAGTATACCGTCTGCGTCAACAAATTCTCGAACGTAAAGGACGAGACATTTCTTTGTTCCTGCGATCGCGAGGTATTCGCGATCGAGAGCCAGCCGTGATTCGGCTTTATTGTGAGATTATACACGAGGGAAGATATACCGTATTCCTTCGGATTCATATGCGTGATCCTCAGAGGCACTTTCGAGCCCTCGTCGACCCTCAGGCTCTCCAGCCCCTCGAGCGATTTGCCGACGTTCTTACCGACGTGATATTGGAGCTTCAAGTTGGCGTGTATGTCGACGCACTGGGGTGCATTGACTTTAAAGGTTATTTCGTCGAGAATATTGGAGTAAGCCCGTCGGAACAGATAGTAGATCAGCCTGCCGGCTTCGACGTCCTCCTGCGTGAAGGTGTCGCCCGTCCCGAGCTTGCGATCGGACAGAAATAGATTGCCGTATCTTGGTCCCGTGGTGAGAGTAAAAACAATTTTACTCGGCGACGTAACTAATGGATTCGTCTGGTACCTCAAGTGGTTGCCCGTGATAGTCATGTTCGACGTGCCGGTGAGATTAACGGGCACTCTTCTGCCTTCCCTCAGCTCGAGGTCAATGAAAGTGATACGGAAGTCGTAGGTCTGTTGCGTCTTCACTTCGCGCACGCTCGCCTGGAACTTGAATTCGTCCTGATTAGGACTGCCGACGTTGTGGAGGTAGCGAACGATGTGCGACTCCACGTCCCGACTGGTGAAGTGGTCCACGTTCGTCCAGACGCCGGTGACGTCCCTGAGCTTTTGCAAAACACCGTGCTGCGGCAGCGAGACGATGTCGTAACGGATATCGATGGTGTTGTCGTCGGAATTGGTAGCGAACGAGAGATTCGCCGGCGTCAGGTAGGAGAACGAACGATGTACCACAACGAGGCCGGTGTTGTGCGTCAGCTTGATCTGCAACGGATAAGCCGATACGCGCAGGTACGCCGGTTGACTGCTCTCGATGCCGTCGCTCACTTGCAGGCCCAGCATCGCGTTCGGCTTGGCTGCAAGATGAAAATTCGACTCGTTCGCGCGAAGCTCGACCAGCGGAATCCCGAAGGGGAGGAGCGTGAGCCCTGAGAAATAAGAGAAGCGCTACGTGGGCACATTTGTCTCATTACCATTTCCACGATGCACGTACGCGATGAGACCCTGTATCAGTTCGGCCTGCGTGAACATGTCGATAGGTCGGAACGGAGTGGTGACTCTCTCGATGTGTCCTGCGTCGGTATCCGCGCGTAAAACCGTGTAGATCAGCATTTCCGAAGGAGTGTCGGCGTCTATGGCCCATATTAACTCCTTGGTCAGTGTTTTTCTCGTGCCCTGCGAATATCAGCGTTTTTCGCGCGTTTCACATCTGCCTCTAGAGAGCGGCGCGCGTCGCGACGTATCGAGCGATTTGCATTCGCTCGGCACTATACACGGTCGATCGGCAGGGAAAAAAAGCCGCGTCGTGTGTGTGTGTATTATTTCCGCGCCGGCGTCGCGATCAAACGGGCACGACGACGTCGATTGTCATAACCGCGACAATTTCCGCCTTTTGTATCGCCGGTCATCGCTATTCCGAGAATCTGCGGCCGGATCGAAAGAAAAATGCGTACTCGCTCGCTCGCTGCGCGCGTACACGCGCCTTGCTCCTACGTGCACACAATGCACGCACATGCGTGCATTATCCAGCTTACACGCGCGGTTAATTAAGAGCGATGACCGGCGCGCGAGCGAGTTAAATCGATCTCGCCGCGGCTAAATTGCCGCGTTCTCCGAAGATGCACGAGCCACAAATAAGCTACTATTTCACTCTGCCTCCATTAATTGATTCAGTTAGGTGGCGTGAAACGTCGGTTGTTTCAGCCGGCGAGAGAAGCAACGTGTTTCGAATAATCGCATTGTCGCCGGCGACGTTCGCGGAAAGAGCGGCGACCGAATGAGTCGGCAGAAAAAGGATGTGCTCCGGCTTTATTTTCGTGCCTTACTTGAGCTAGACGCAGCACTTTCGCGGTCGGTATCTCGAGCAATGGAGGGTCATTGACAGGAGTGACATTAACGTGAAGAGGAAAACTGAGGCGTCCTTGGAGGTATCCTGGCAGCGTGTAGCCTGTCCCGGCCACCAATGTCAGTTCCAGAATCATGCTGTCCTCTGTGGTTTCGCTACCGTCGTGCATATACTGTATCTGTCGGGCAAGTCAATTGTCATAAGGATAACGCGCTATATATATACACATATCTGTCTGTGCGTGCATATATATATATATATATATATATATATCATATTCTGTCCTCTCCTAATGTAGGAGTTGTGTAGCGAGTCGAGTAAATTAACGCAATCCCGAAGATACGAGATCCGTAACACAGCAGACATACTTCTAAAGTGCTTAATAGACACTTCCGAATCGCAAGCTCGGGATTAAATGACGCGGCGCCCGGTAGCATCTTCCGTGTTCGCACCGTCTTATAAAGTAAATTTGCACACGACGGGGGAGATCGCGCGAGTGCTACTAATCTGTCGTGCAGTATCGGTTAGACTCGACCTTACAACGAGGAGTGTGTGGACTTTAACTTGCCACAGCTCTCACCATACCACGACAATCTTGAGCGAGTGTATACACACGCACACACAACACACACACACACACGTATACGTACGCACACACATGCACGCATATACAACATCGTGCTACAGAATCAGAATTAATCATGGGCGAACACGTCAGAGCACCCGACTCGTGTTATCCTTTCTGCCGTTCGATCTAACACTCGAGATCGACCGCGGCTGAAATTAATTAGAGCGACGTGGGTTATGTCGGGAGTCGTTGATTAGCATATCGAATGGGCGTCGCCGGTCGCCGATCCCGCGAGACGCGAGAAAAAGAGGGAGAGGAAAACACGGGGAGTGAGCTTTTTCCCGTGTTCCTTTTTGTGACGATTAGAAAGCAATTGACGGGAGATAACGTGAGCCGCCGCGGTATGGTACGATGTATAAAAAGCCCGATACGCGATTTAACGAAAAACCATTAATGAGTGGTGGCGGCAGTTTATAAATAGAGCACTGTCGCTGGATAAATTGAGTGTGGGTTAGCGGACGACGAGCAGGCGAGCGGGAGAATCACGACGGAGTTGTCCGACCCTCTCCGCCAACGGTTCTAAAGTTAGTCCTTATGGCGCGTACTATGTATAGCAACGCGTGGTCCTATGACGAACTGGAAGAGCACATGACTTTCCACGTTTCTCCGCACCTTGCGCGGCCTACGGGGCCGGGCCGGCGAGTTTAGTCACCTGATATTAATTAACGTCAGGTGCAGGCCGACCGAGTTTCGCCTTTTACACGTGTTTCCGCGAAACTCCTCGGCGATCTCGAGCTTCATCATCGCGGGCGCGCGCACGTATGACCGACGGGTGAGCGCCGACGTCGTCGCGGAGCGATCGCGTCGTGGTCCAACTTATACAAGAGTGCATACGAATTGAACGTTAGTTAACGATTTATCGAATAAAGCGATCGTCGATCGCTCGGTCGGGCGATCGGTCGGACCTTACCTTGTCTTGATTGATATCCTGTAACGTGAAGGAGTGGTCACTCCGAGTCGTTAGCAGGTCGAGCGCCAATGTGCCGTAAGTTGGCGGCGTCACCAAGGTGAATATAACACCCTCCTCCCCCACGCCGTATTTAGCGATGTCCAGCACCATCCCGATATTTTTGCTCGTTACCAGAACATGCTCCCCCTCGGAAACCAAAAGTGGACTCAGCGAGAGAATCTCCAGGTTTACGGGCAGAGTGCCGTTGGAGTAGATCTGCAAAGACGCCATCACATCGACTTTTTACACCCTAGCGACGCGGACCAAGTGCTCTCGCTGTTCGCCGGACTATCAGGTCGGGATTTCAACGCGCGCTTCATCTCGCCGACTATCTCTATCAGGATGAGAAAAGCCGCCGCATTTGCGGTTGGCGCGGATAAAACTAAATGGCCCCTATGTATATCTCGTATGTATCACGCTAATTACGCGAACAAGAGTCGCCGCCAAAGAGCGGCCTATATCCGCGTTCTATCTTGACCAAGTTAGCCGTGCATTTTGGATCTCCATAAATCCATAAATCCATACGCTAGCTGCCGGCGACATAATTAGCTCGCAACCGCACCGTAACCCTCGCCAAGTGTGAAGCGTCATCGAAACTCGATTAAAATTGATCTACCTTGTAATCGTCGGCGTGATTCGGCTTGACGCACAGGGATTGCTCGCAGTTGCACTTGAACGAGCTGACGCCCAGCTGCGAGCACGTAGCGCCGGTTACGCACGGGTCGGCCTCGACGCACGGGAAGCCCCATACGCAGCCCACGACGACACCCTGGCTGACCTTAACGTCCGGTAGACCGAGGTCCTTGTTGTCGAGCACCATGTTCCGTATGCAGCCCTTGTAACTCACGTCGCCCGACCGGAGACCCTTGCCGAGCGCACGGGCGCGTTTGTTCAGCTCCGTGCCGCCGATGTACAGCGTGTCGGCCAGGTCGAGGAAACGATTGCCACCGGACGGCAAAGCCATCGTTTTTTCGTGACGGTCGACGGCGATGCCGATACCGCTCGGGTTGAAGTCCACGACGACGCTGTGCCATTTGCCGTCGGCCACCACGGTGCCGTGTATCAGCTCGGACGGGCCGTTCCCCTTGTTCATCAGCAGCCGAATCTTGCCTTCAAACAATTCGATGCCGAGATAATCGGCGTAGGACGATTGGCCGGTGTTGTAGAGCAACAGGCCGCCGTCGGAGCCGGTCTTCAGCTCGAATTCCCATCTGTAAAGGCGCAGGATGGGAGTTTCCGCGGTGGAAGGTGTCGTTAATATCTCTTAAAAGTAAAGAATCGCGCGCTCGCACACAATCGTTCGCGGCCGGTGTTACGGCAGTTACCAGCGCAGACAAAGTCGACTTGGCGATGCCGGGCGGAGAATGTTCGCTCGAATGACGGGAAGCAACGAAAAATTCCGATACTATCTCGTATCCGCGGTCAGAATAGAATTTCGCGCTTGATTTCCTCGCCGGGCAAGTGTCGCGCCGCCGACACGGCGGAATGAGAAATTTTGCGCACGCATCGTCTGCATGTCGAGCGCCGACACCGGTTGAACGATTTGCCATTTCGTTGGGAAACGAGGCAACGAATAATGGATAATGGACGGTATCCCCTTACGAAAATGCGAAGCGTAACCGAATCTTGAGAAGGCGCATATATAAATAATTCTATGAATTCGAGACTCGCTGCGCGCTTCGCAATGTAAAACGTAACGGCGCAAGAGTAGCAGACGCCGAGGAACATTTAATAATTGAAATTTTTCGCAAATATTATCCTCGCGAGGTAATTGCGCGTCCCCTCGCTCGTCGCTCTTCAGGCGATATAACATTCAGACGTCACGGCGGAGCGCGCGATTAAGTAGGCAAAATGTTATTCGTGCAACACGAGTTAAACGAGCGAAGTTAATGTGCGAGCGATGGTAGGTAGGAGAGTAGGGAGGGCAGGAAGAAGATTATTCGCTGTGAATTTATAATTATAATCAAATCAAATTTCGCTTGGTCGACTTCTACCCGGCAAAACTTTAGGACGACTGATTTTCGCATCCTGCGCGCGAAGACGCCACGACTGCTGCGAGCACGAAAGCCGATTATTTACTTCAGCGGACGGATTCATTACTTTGCTTTTGGAATAGCAGCACGGCGGGGCACTACAACAGTGGTTACGAATGCGCACTAGACTTTCATCATAGTAACGGACGGATGTAATAATAATATAATGTACACGCTGCAGTGACGACCACGTATATCGCCCCGTGCCGGGGGTATTAAAATTACCATTCTACGCGCTATCGTGTAACGCACGAGGACGCACCTCTTCCCCTCCTCCTCCTCCCCCCCGCGGTATTTGCAACATCTTTATCAATTTTTATCGCGCTAGCCGCAACCGTTACCATCGCACTCCGAAGTATCGTGCTTCATTAATTTCTTTATTTTGTTTTTTTTTTCATTCATCGTTAATGGAAACCTCTCCCGCACGTGAGATGATGAAACGCGCGCGAGTGCACCGTAACCGAAATACCGAGTGCGATTTAATCGCGTAAATTACAATTATCCCACCGAGAATTATCTCATCATTTAACTCTGTTAAATGGAATTAATGAGAATGCTTCTATATGTACATATATTATACGTGCCAGTCAGTGTCTTACTATATAGTACAATTCGCTGCGCGGCTGTAGATATATGCGCGAATTGTAAATGCAATTGGTTGTTTACCGCTCCGAAGGTGCACTAAGGACACCTTAATACCGTTCGTTTGTGTCTCTCCGTTGTTCTTCGCCGATCGATGCTTTGTTAGCGGGGCCATGTTTTAACGCTCGCTCGCTCTTCATGTCTTCTTGCTCAGTCGGTTGCCGGTGCCGGGACCGAGGAGATGCCCGATCGAGAAGACACAACGGCTGAAATTAAGCGCGCGAATATCCGTCCGCTCGTTTTTCCGCGAGATTTCTTTAATCTTCATTCGTCGGCTCAAGTCGGAGCGGGGAAAAAACGCGAGTGTTGCAGGAACATAAAACAAACTCGATTCGGTACGCTAAGCCGCCCGATAATTCCCGGTGTTGCACGCGACGGCGGGAAATCGATGAATTAGCGGTTAAACGATGAGCAGAAATTGCAGTCGGCACGGATGGAGATAACACTCGGGCGTCTGTATCGGGCGCGCATGCACGTTATACACACACTCGAATCTTCCAGATCAATTGAACTCAGAGAGCGCACGTCGGAATCTTCACGGTTCATCGACTTCACGTAGAACACCGCGGAAGGAAGACAGTTACGACTGTCTGGTCATCCGCTCGATTCCGCCTGACTATCTGCTTACTCGTTTATCGACGAGAGACTCGCGTTTGGCTGTCTGGTCCGGGGGGTTACGAGTCGTGCACGTAGCCGTAGCGGCGCTCGACGCGAACGGGGAAGGTCGAGCGTCTCGCTCGTCCGTTCAAATATTTGTACAAAACGCAAAGAGGAACCAGGCGTGTGCCCTTTGTCCTTTGTTTCGCTTTCGGTCGCATTAATGCAACAGGTCCCAACATTTATTTTCCCAGATAAGTGTTGAATTAAGGCACCGCGGAAAACGATGGGCGCGCTTTTAATTTGGTGCAACACAAAAGAGCAGCGGAGCAACTGCGGTGCCTCCGCGATCCTACAAGATGCGGTAAATCGGCCGCCGCTACCGGGGCTTAACCACCTGTACATACGGCGGATGCCTGCATTAAGCGTGCTAACAACCCAGCGTGCGTCGAGTATTCGTACTCGTATTCGTGAAAATAAAGCGTTTTTCCGCCGCTCAATGAGCGCGTTGTCCCCGCAAGAATCATTCTTGCGGGGACAACGCGCCGACAGACAACGGCGCGTCTTCGAATTCCTTCGTGTGTGAATTTTTTCGTCGTATGTGCTTAGGCTTGCTCGTTCGCGGAAAATCGCTATCACGAAAGGAGAGACGGGTTAATTGTTAAATGAGACATTTCGCCATTGCCGTTGAAGAAATATCGAGAAAATAGACGCGTCAGCTAAGGTGTGTTCACGCCCATCGCGCGTGTGTATATGTGCCTCGCGATATTTCATATTCATCAGTCCAAATGACGAGATCTCTGCGAGAGCGTCGCGCGAATGGTATTAATTCTGCAAACGAGCGCTGGCGCACTAAGTAGCTTTATCGTTATGAGCTTCCGAGTCAATCGACCATCCCGTCTGCGTATCGTAGTCCTCGTGCCGCGCCTGAAAAGAGGGATCGCGAGTTGTCCTCATTGAGAGACGACAGCGTCGCGTCGTCCGCCTCTCTCTCTCTCTCTCTCTCTCTCTCTCTCTCTCTCTCTCTCTCTCTCTCTCTCTCTCTCTCTCTCTCTCTCTCTCTCTGTCTAGTTGCAAGAATTATCATCGACAACGTCATAACGCGATTGAAACAGTTGTTTCGTGCTTTTCGAAACGGTTTAACTACGTTCCGGCGGGATTCGGTCGTTAAAAGCAGCGCGGCAGATGAAAGTGGTAGGAATCGAGTAACATGAAAGGTTCTCTCTTGACCAATGGCTTGAATGCGGTGGTGGATGTAGATGTACAGCTACGCGCAAGGGTATGCGAGTTATGTGACCCCCGCCTCGAGCTCGGTGAAACGGATTTCTCGCGGCATTACCATAAGATATTGGATTCGCGAACCGACGTATTTATTTTGCGTTTTCGCGGTGGTACGCGCGGGAGAGAGAAGGGGGGAGAAAGCGAGAGAAAAAGAGAGAGAGAGAGAAAGGGAGGGAGGAGAAAGAGAGACTCGTCAGGGTCGTCCACAACGTCCAGGCTTATAAGTCTGATGGCGGGCAAGAGAAAAAAAATACGGACAACCGAATGCGTCGAGCTCAATGTTGGAACGCTCGTGTGCGGCGAAACTGCGAAATTGCTTTCACAAAGTTTGCATCGCGCATTTCGCTGCGCAAAGCTCAAAGCTACGTTACAAACAGCGATGAAAATATTAATTACACGATCATGGGTCTCAGCATGAGCGAAAGCTCATAACGAAACAAAAGCGTCGCGTTGTGCTTTGCATCGATCTTCACATTCGATATATGCAGTGTGAATAAATAAATATATATATATATATATATATATATGCGTGTGTGTATAGATACACGCACACGCAGCACGGTAATGCAGTCGATACGGCTGCATTGCGACAGTTTAATTGCGTTTTCTACGGTCTCATAGGTGCGACGATGGTAAATGGAAGCGTATACGTTACAACGGAAAGAAGCACTTTTAGTGTACATGTATACCTCGAGCCGGAACGCGGGATGGGTCGTGGAATGGCGACGAATGCTCCGTCCTCGACGAAGCTGACTTCCGTGCTCCTCGTGGCGTCGAATTCCGGCGAGCAGCCCCACGTTACGGCTGTTGCCTCCGACTGGCCCTTCCTCGACCTGGCGTATTCTATAACTCCGGCGCCGTTGTAGATTATGTCGGCCATGCATCCCCTCAGATAATCCGTGTGTCCTGCAAGACAGACGTGATTCGACGGATTAATCACACCGCTGCGCTCGATACGCGTAACGAGCGCGCGAAAGGTTAGCGCGATGTCGGTGCATCGCAAACGAGTACGCACGAAATAACGCTCGCGTTTTACGAATAAATCTCGCAGGTGCGAGTGTCCATTAAACATTACACTACGCTAACGAGGTCGCTATCGATTCGAAAAATATTGTAATTCGGGAACGATCGCGCGTAACAGCGGGGATTCTGAATGTTTTGCATCCTTTGCAGCGAGCAAGCTGATCCCGTTGCCGTTCCTCGCGTTAGTTTAGTCAGTTAGGAGAGTCTTGTCGTGTCGAGGAAACATCCTCGAGCGTTCCTTCTCAATTTTCTCACACAGTTTTACTTAATCGCGCGATTGTCGGAGCGCTATCTCTTCGAGATCCAATTTCGCGCCGGGGAACTTTATACTTCCGCCGGTGTGACGCTGTCACACTCTGGTGAAGCGAATAATATATATACCGTGATACATGTAATATGGACTCGTGAGATATAGATGTGTAGACACATACATACGCGCACACATACATATATATATATACTCAATATTTACGAGCAATGCGCCGGATTCGTCGAAACTGGCGGTTTCGCGCTGCGGGCGAGCTCGCAGCGCGCCGGGGTTGATTGTCTTCGTGTGACAAGCGCATTTCGCGGTGGTGGGTTTGGTGGATTACCCTCGAGCTGCCGCATGCCGATAGATGTAAGACGACGGGGTTGCGCCTCGCATACGACAAGCCGACGAGAGATGTGTATACGTAAGCGGTCCGAGATGGGCGTTTACTGGCACGCCGCGGAATCGCGGAGACAGTTTCCGACGGAATGCTGCGGCGGCATTAAACCAGCCAGTCAAGCAGCCTGTTTACAGCATGGTTGCGGTGCACCTCGTTCGTGGCTCCTCGCAACAATGCTATCATCTTTAGCTTTTTACATAATGCACAGTCTCATCGATTGTAAGACATTTTGGCGCATGGCCAGTCTCGCGCGCCACGGGAAGTACAGAGCGAGAGGCTCTGCAACCCTTTTACGCGTGTCTAAACGCCGCTTGATGCTTCGCTCAGCGTGGACATGCCGTCGCGTTTGCTGAAGACAGATTCACTTGAATAACGGACACGATACCTTGGCGGTCACGCGAATTAGCCACGTTGATTTTCGCGAGCGCTTGCCAAATTGCACCGTCGCGCGACAAATGAACATCGTTTTTCCCTAACGCTTGGCGTTTCGACGTCTATGTTTGTCTGGCCTAAAGAATCTATCCTTAAAAAAACTGTATTAATACGTTTCCTTTTAATGTTTCCTCTTTTTCGTCATAGTCATTGTCCACTTCAATCTCAGCGCGAGTCTCGTTGTTTACTTTTTTATCGCAGAGATTACGTATTTTGACAAATTGAATGTCAAGGAGAGATTGAGTATTGTAAAATAATATAAAACGCTTATATTACAGTGTGGAGAATATTATTTATATATATTTGATTGATAAAATTTTATTCTCTATTTCAGGTCCGTAGCAGAATATGGCCGCTTCCGAGTCACTGCCTCTTCGGTAAGTTAAAAAAAATATGAGTACGAAAAATAAAAAATTGTGAATTTTTCAGTGGTGAGTGTATACAATAGAAAAAAATATCGTTTCAATCATGCAATCACGATGCTTCTGTATAAATATAGATATGTCGAGAAAAATAACTATAACGAAAGATACGATACACCGAGCACGGCAACGATAACAAATAATTTGTTCGATGCGATGTTATCGGAGATTTATATTGATGGTACTATATTGATTTATATTTAGGAAATGACAAAGGAAGCTCCTTTCAGATATTAGGATTTCGATATTGGCACGTCGAAACGTATATATTTTTATTGATTCCTTGTGGTGAGATCAAATATATACGTCCTCACGCAGCGAGAATATTCTCTATATTTTTGCGAAGCCAAGAAAATGGCGGTCGATAAGCGAAATCTACGACGAGAATCTGACGATCGAGTGTATTGGTATACACTCGCATTGTATAGTTCCGTATGTGTATATTTGCTCACCTACACACTAACAGTTAATATGATACACTCACAACACATGTATATGTGCTTACGGCACGGTGTGCCGAAATCCGTATAGTAGAAGCAGCGTCTTATTCGAAACTTGCGTTCAATATTTACATCGAAAGTTAAGGGTTAAGGTAAATTAAACTTTGAAATTGTGCTTATGTAACTGGAGAGATTATCCCTCGATTGATCTCAAACGGATTGCACTGCAACGAAACTTATCTTGATGTTTAATCACCGATGCATCGGAAATTGAAATTAAGAAGTGAAATTTTGCTTCTCTACTTTAACTCTGTAAATTCTATTGAATTTGAAGGGCCGATATAGAATCGCCGAGTATTTGTCGAGTATGTCGCCAAGTTCAAGCGCAACGAAATTGTGCCCGAACAACGCGAGACACATCGTGCTTATATTATGCGAAATTGCGAGTTGAAACGAGGTGAGATATTCATATCTCAGCAATGGCAAAACCGATCGAGGTTTTTTCAGTCCCAATCGATTCGGCCTTAAAAAATAAGAAGAAAAGTGTCCTTATGTTTTTGTGTATGTTGTCTCTAAGTGTAGATATTTTAAAATAAAGTCCAAATCACGAAAAATTTCGATTCAGTAAGAAAGTAAGAAACGCTAGATCGCAGAGGAGAGGAAATTTGTGCATCTCACTTTTCCGACACCAGAGGTGTTACAAGCACGCTGAAGAAGCAGTGAGTGCGAGTGAGCAAGCGACAGAGTAAGAGAGAGAAGAATATTGCTAGAATACAGGAGTAGAAATGTGCGAGAAAGAAAAAGAGAGCGAAAGAGAGAGAGAGAGAGAGAGAGAGAGAAAGAGAGCGAAAGAGAGAGAGAGAGAGAGAGAGAGAGAGAGAAGCCAGGATTTTTTGCATTAAATATTTTTTATTGCATTGTTATAATAACTAATTTATTATAATAACAAGTAAAATAACCATAAAACTCAGTGTTCTAGTAAATAATGAAGATTGTTTTTTAAGTTTACCAGACTGTGTATCATTGGGAGTTCGATACATTTATCTTCAGAGTTGATGTTGAGTAGAGTTTTTCAGTTGATGCTATTGTTTTGATATATCATTTTTTTGTAGAACAGTTTTGTAGAGTTTTATTTATAGTATTCAATAGAAGAATTTATTGTTAGAAATAATAATAAATAGAAAATAAATAGAATAAGTTTTACTTGTACAAACTTATTACTTGTATAACGAAAATAATAAATTATATTGCCCAAAGATACACGCTCAGATGCGGTACGATGTACAGTACTAAAAGCGTAAACATTGCCGTTTATATCATTTCTTTTGCAAAGTACTTGTAGAGTTTTATTATAGTTATAAATTTTACTTGTAAAATTTTATGTTACATATATAACTTGAAAAAAGATAATTTGAAATTTCTAAAAATAACACAATACGTGTTGCGCCTCTTTTTACCTTTTTATTTAAAAAGGTAAATTTTATATAACGTTACGGGCTCTCTGAGACGCGTCCTAGCGGAACAAGGTCGTGCGACTTTGAAAACAACATGTTCATAAGTACGCAACTGCCGCAACCGCTTCCATTATTGTTTACGCCGCGTCGGCGAACGGATCGACGCGGGTAATAATTTCCGAATTTTCACGCTCGATCACAGTGTACGCGCGCGTGTAACGTGTAATATTCGTGCGTGTGTGTGTGTGTGTGTGTGTGTATGCGTGCGTGACGATCCGGAGAATCTTGAGCAATAGCAGTGTTTCATGGCTTTAGAGGTAAACTTTTATTGGTTAACTTGGTTAAGTTGAAGAAGCTAATTTATAGTCTCGAATCTTTGATGCAGGACGTATTGTCGCTGTAATACTAATGAGGAAACTCGCTTTTTGTTACAGATCTGCTGGAGTTTGCGGCCACGCGATAGCTGCGGTTACCGGGACGCAGTTTCGACGGACGCCGATGCCGCACCGGAGGATCCGGTTCGGGCCGAGCAGAGTCGGCTTGAAGGTGAGGTTCACTGATCATTTGTACATTTCTTCTTGATTCATTGTGATCGAAAAATCAAGTGATTGGAATAAAAGCCGTTGAATTACGATGACAAAGGATCAACATTTGTATCTACGCGCGCGCTTCTGCGAACTGAACCTAACCTAACGGTTTAACTAACGAAACTATATTTTTTGTTACAGATCCGCAGCAGAACGCGGCTGACTCTGTCTACTGTGTATTGGTGAGTCAGAGAAGAAAAGACATTTTTATGGTGATGGGTATTTGCAATATCTCGAGAAAATTAATGCGATTTAATTATACTGTTTTCACACGTTGCTCAAAATAATCAGGAGATAGTATCTTTCAATGACTGTATTACATAACAGAATCTTTAAGATATAATATATATTTCTCTCTTTAATATTTACTCTGAATCACTAGATGATACAGATATAAATGTTTAGCTTTAGTTTGTTACTATATTGAAATCAAGATATGGAATTATTTGCTACGATTCAGTTAATATAACTTCGAGCAGTGTGTAATGTTAAAATTTGATCAGTACTTATTTCATGCAAGAAATATCGACCGGCAAACAGTCGAATAACTACCCGTGAATACAATTCTGTAACCAATTATGTTTTTCAATTTAATGTCATAAATAATTTACAATTATCAATACCGCTGTTAGAATCTGTAGATCGCGCGAGAGAGAGTACATTGTGAAATATTACATGCCCCATTGATCTTTCAAGTCCAACAAGTTCAAACTTGCAGGGTTAATACAAAAGCAAAATTTTGACTCGGGTGTGAAGCAAAGTTGAACTTTCCGCAGAAAATTCAATCGTGAATTTCGCGCGGCGAAAAATCTCGCGTCCTCGCGCAACCGGTCGACGCTATTTTCCAAGACGCTTTATACACAGGGTGTTTCAGAAATAGATGGCCAAACTTTAAGAACATATTCTACTTGCCTAAGGATGAAAAAGGTCATATAAACATGAACCCAGAAACTCTTCTTTAAGTTACAAACATCTTTTATTTGCTACAGACTTTAGTAAGAACATAGAATAAGCTACCTGATCTTGACACTATCTCAAATCTTAAACGCTCAAATAAAGACTGCTTCCGATTCTAAACAGACACATCCGCTCACTTATTTACTTCTAATGAAAGATAGATAAAGAATAATGCATAATACGTCGATGCGAAGCATGTCTATTGCAAATAAAAAGTGCTTATAGCTTGGAAAAGAAGCGTTTTTGGACCCATGCTTGCAGGATCTTTTTTCACTTTTCCGATGAGTAGAATATGCTCCTAAAGTTTGGCCACCTATTTCTGAGACACCTTGTATAATCGTACACGAGCCCCTGCCGAAAATGAGTTTCGCAACCTCCCGAGTGTTGTGAGGGTTGATTCTTTTTCTTTATTCCTAGATTCGAGAATTTAGCGAGATCCACACCGGAGAATTAATAAGACCTCCTCCAAGGGGTAGGTCACACCGTACCATGGGGTACAAGTGAATTGTCATGAATATGTAAATTGAATTTTGAGCTGGTCGCCGAGTATTATGCGTGACGGTCGACGGGGTAACGATGAGGGCGCGTCCAAAGAGAGAAAGAGAGTGAGGGGATGGGTAGAAGTAGAGTATAGAAGAGTGACGGAAATAGAGAGGAAAAGGGAGAGAGAGACAGCCAGTGAACGATGCTGTTTGTGCCGATCGTATTCAATTTCGCCCCCGCGCCAATTCGAACGGAAGGACCGAGTAAACTTTTTGTCTCGCGGCAGGAATGATTACCGATCGCTGCGGCTGATGCGCCGCGAGTCTGCATGAAAGAACCCGGTCGTTATCGAGCTGTGTACTTGAGACGCGTGTGTAGAGCGCGAAGAGTGCGACGGCAGGCGCTCTCGAGTGCACAACGACCGAGTAATTCTAATCGAGTAGGTACGGGAAATCATAAACGCAACGCACCGCAGATTATGATTAGCCGCTGCTATAAATGCGAATTACACCCCCGTGAGTTCTCGCGTGTTTGAGCTCCCCCTGCGACCGGTCCGTTCGCTCCGGCGAAGTTTCGCCGGTGTAACTTATTCTAATTTACTTTGATTCTCCCTGATTTATTCTATTCGTACAACGGTGTGTTCCCGCCGGTACATTTCCATCACACTGTCTTCGGGAATATTCCGAAAGTAATAACGCGCTGTTCTCCTTGTGTGAGATTTCTGTGCAAATTACAGCGGGCTGAAAATAGAAAGGATATTCCCGCCTTTTCTTGGTCGTCCGTGTTTTCGACTTCGTAGTGCTCTATGACCGCGGCGGATATACACCGTGAGGCGGAAGAACGTATAATTTGGAATTTCGCCGCAAAGGCGTGACACGACGGGAACGTCGTAACCGTGGCAAAGGAGCGCGCAAGGAGAATATTCCGATCGCCGTTTCTCACGGGAGACGTATCGCGGCTTCCAATTTATTCGCGGCGCAAATAGAATCGGCCGCGCTAATGAAATTAGTATCGGCAACGAGATTATAAACGCGATCGACGAGTCTCTCGCGTGACGAGATATTTTAAGATCAGAGAAGGAAGTACGCCGAGGGCATTGATGTAGTGCCATTGGCGCGAGCTACGTCGAATTGTAATTATCGCCGTTACTGGTGCACGAGACGAGTCTTGTTACTACACGTAGCGTCCACACAACGAAAACAAAGGCAAATGTTTGAATTACATCCCGTTCGTGCGATTTTGCGCAACTCGTGCTCCCGGCGCTCCATTATTTAAGCCCTTCGCCAGCGCGCGCGGAAACGCGAGACAGTGTACATCATACTTTCGATATAATAATATCGGCCACTGTGCCGCTGTAATCACCTGTTTTCGCTCTTCGTCACGATCCAGCACGATAGCAAACAATTAATTCGCCGTTAAAGTATCGTCCGCAGCAATCGTTCGGAAAACACATTGCGATACATTTTCAATGACGTAAAATTCTCGCGAAAGTTTTCGTACATCACGACGATTCGTGTATGAAGACTAACGAACTCGAGTTTGCGCGAATTTGAGAAATAAGTGAAATATCAAACCGGAGCCACGAATAATTTAGATCACTCGCACCATTCAAATCCATCTATCGATTCTCCATTTATACTAATTTATTATTTCTGCCTTTGCCGATGGTGTTTCATAACGAATACAGCGTTTCCGTCGATTTTCCATTAATATGATTGCACCAAAGAGAACATCGAAGGCTGCCAGAGAACGAGGGAAGATTCGGAAGAAAAATTCCCTAGTATTTCAAGAAAATATATAGATGAAATACATCAAAAGAGCTCCTTCGTTGGAAACCACCTCCCGCGGCTAAGAGATATTAAAACATTATTTCTAAATGCAATATCGGGAAAGGTGAGATGAGAAAAAATACGAAATACAAAGAGACGAACGTGATTAAACAAACAAATGTTAAATTATTTCCAGCACATTCGGATCTTTAGATTTTTTTAGTTTCGGATCTTTAGGACTTTGGTTTTTATTCAACTATTTTGGAAACGTAAACATTCGCTCGTCAACTATTTGGCACAATTTTTTATCAACAACGCTCGATTCTTTTATTTGCGATTTTTGTGCAATTTTTGTCTGATTCTTGCATGTTACGATGAAATTTCACTCGCGAGAAATATACGACGTTCCTCCATAGGTCTCATATTTTTTATATTCGTACATATCTCTTCATTCCATCTTGTGGAATTACTAGAATCATACCTGCCAAACAGCTTCGTCCCGACAAGGCGTCGTCGTTTCACGTCAGTTGACACAATTCCCGCTGTAATATCGTAGTGAACGTGAACGCAACGTTACCCCGGCAGATTATTCATCGACATTTTGTGACTATACGCGTTAAATACTTTTCATATTGCTATTTTACGGTAATTTTTGCGCTTTAAATAGCATACTCAAATATATACACAAATATTCACACAATACATAGTGCATTTAATTCAGAGTTTAATGATTGCGTATTGTTTTGTTAATTTAATAAATTAATCATGGAATACTAATTAATTACATGACGCGAATAATGCGCGGAATTTATATGGCGCCTCACCATTAAATTATAATTATTTATTTTACATTTATGACGCGCACTGCTGACGTTCGTCTTTTTACTATTACCGGCTTTTATTAAATATTATCATACAGAATTGTCATACAGAAAAAAAAATAGAGGAAGCACACAGATATCGAATATTATTAACAGTTTCAACGCATGAAATTATCGTGCGTTTGACTAATATTAACTGTTAATCAAATACATGCTCCATCGTGAATTATAAATCGTCCAAGTGGATTTAAACTTGTGTCAGCTTTCCGATTTTGTCTGTATTTACTTTTATTACTCATATAGCGATTCGCTGAATCGACATTTAAAAAACCAAAGAAACGAAATATAACACTATTGTATCGCGTCGACGCTTTTTATCACAAAACCCACGTTGTACTCCATTAAATTTAATTTCCTCACGCGGCGTATCAGTTTTGTCGAACAAACAATAATTAATAATTAATATTATATCATCTCATATGCTCTTTGTGAAATTAGAGTTTTAACGATACTGTCGACCAACGTGATAATTTTATTGGCTTTATTTCCAAATGCGCTAAAGAACAGAACGAATATACACCGGGAAGAGAAATAACGTAATGCAAACTCTAAATTGCTTAAATTTTGCCGAATTTCGTCGAAAGCGACTCGAGGGAAAAAAAGGGAATAAAGTTTAAAATCGTTTGCCGCGGTCGAATCTAGCAACGCACTAGCCTCGGCAGTTATTTTATATAGCATAGCGAACATTATTATGATATTCGGCGGCACGAGTAAAGGATAGAGAGTGGCGCGCTCGACTTTACCTCTGTTTATTGCATAATTAACAAAGTTCACGATTTTCCTTCTTGCAATTCGCGGAGAATACTATCAGAGTCCTTAACGATGGTTATAAAGAACATTGCGTCGCTGACTCTAATCCGCGATTTCGACCGGCGCGCTCGAGCATGCATGAGCTCTACATTAATTATTTATTATTATTTTTCTACGTTAATTATTTATTAAGCACCTCTCTCTCTCTCTCTTCCTCTCTCTCTCTCTCTCTCTCTCTCTCTCTCTCTCTCTCTCTCTCTCTTTTTATCTCAACCCCTCCGATTATCCGATCTCTCCGTCGTCTCCGTTGTAGTTAGCTAGATTGCCGACTATTTAACGAAATTAAACGAAAAGGAGGTACCTCAAGAGGAGCGGGGAGGAGACGAGAGAGGGGTGGTCGTGACCGCGCGGCGATGCAACGTCAACGAACGTGGTTTTTGCCGGCGCGCCGTATCGAATCTAGTTCAGTCACGTGGCGAGACAATTTATCCGGATGAGTCAAGCCCTGCCTGCCTGCCTGCCGCTATCGTCATCGTCTCCCTTGCACTCTCTCTCTTCCTGTCGTCGTCTTACCTAGAAATAGCTCGTTGAAGTCGCCTTGTCCGCCGATGAAGACCCCGTACTGTATGTTTAGCTCGAAGTAGCGGCCCGGTAGGTGGGATCTCTCTATGTGTATCACGTCGATCTGCAGGGTGACGTTGGCCTCGCGTCTCGTCAAATTGACCTCGTGCCAACTGAGGTCGTTCAGTGTCAATCCGCGGGCGCTCGCCATCTCGTTCTCGCCCGCACCCAGATTAATGTGAACCTGCGGCAAAAAGCGGCGCTCGTAAAAGTCAGTCTCATTTTTGCCGGAGTTGTGGACGTGCCGCTACCGCAAATGGGTTTTATACGTACATGCGCACGGTACAAATGCATTTTTGTTTTTTTTCTTGAGCTCCGTCACCCCTTTTCTCCTTTCCCTTTTTGCTATTCTTTTTTCCTTCTCCTCTCTCTCTCTCTCTCTCTCTCTCTCTCTCTCTCTCTCTCTCTCTCTCTCTCTCTCTCTCTCTCTCTCTCTGTCTCTCTCTCTCTCTCTCTCTCTCTCTCTCTCTCTCTCTCTTTCTCTCTTTCTGTCCCTCTCTTTTTTTTCGAGAACGGTCGTTCTTCCCCGAAATAGAGCTTCGGTTTCCGGCCGTAGACTCGGTGTACTTTACACTCTTCCGCGCCAGCACTGTGTGACGCGTAAAAAAATGTTATGGAAACGCGTAAAGAGTTTTTACCGGTGAGCAACGAGAGAGCGAGACACACGTACGCGCGCACACCTTCAAAAGATTTAATGAACGCCGCGGCCGGCGTAACCGAGGAGACTGTGCGCGAAAAAACTGCAAGAAGCGTATCGTTGTAATGCTGTAAGATAGTCGGCTTCTTCCGCGGTCTCGATAGTGTGATAAAAAAAATTTCACATTTGCGCCGTGAAACAATTATACCGTAACCGCCCGCAAAAGACTTCTCTTCCTCTTCGAATCAGCTCGAAATTGGACAAAAGAGGCGAAGAGAGAGAGAGAGAGAGAGAGAGAGAGAGAGAGAGAGAGAGAGAGAGAGAGAGAGAAGGAGACTGTATATGTCGAGAGTGTGTATTGGTGGCGGCGCAAGCATTTTCGGAAGTGAGACAATCGTCCCGAAATAAGGGAACATGGTCGTTCTCGATTCTTACTGCCGTCACGAACGGATGTTTTGACACGAAAATTTAATTTTATCCCGACGGCAACGGTCGCGGGAAGTCGCGCGCGCGGGGAGTTCGACATTTCGATGGAAGTATTCGATTCGTTGCCGTTCGGGAACGTGCGTCGAGAAACAGATATAGAACCGCGAAAAAGGCCAGGTCTCGCGTAGGTAGTATCAACCTCGGTGTACGAGGTTGCCTGGCGCCAGTCATGCCCCGCAAATTCTCCGACAGCGTGAGCTGACAGGAATCCGACAGCTCGAGGTTTCGTATATTCCGTCTGCACTTGAGGCACTCGCACAATGAGTTTGCATGCCGAGAGAATGAAGAAGGCGGACAGCTAGACAGACAGTGAAAACGGCTTTCAGTCTCGCGCGGGAAATAAATGTCGAACCTCGCCGATAACCCGATGGCGTTCCCGTTGCCATGTTCGGTCCCCTTTCGTGACTGGGAAAGGGCGCGCGGTGCAGGTGACTGACAAACACGAAGTTTAGCGACGCTTCTGGCTTCCTCGCTCGCTCGCGCACTCTCGTAATTCGCGCGATTGTTGTATGCAGCCGCGCGCACACGGCGAGCGGATACGTATCGCCGCGTATTATTCCCTGAAAACGCCGCGTCGCGCAGCAGCGGTTACCGCAGTTACTTTGTAATCGCGCCGTCGGGGATTCCTAGTTACGCGTGCCGGATTTACGATACACCCACCGGGGAATAAATTCCAAACTCCCCGCGCATATTCAGATCCGCGGAAGTCACCTAAATCAAGCGCGCGCGCGCGCGTGTCGCTCGGCATTGTAAATGTTTGACTGATTAACACGCATCGCGAAGCGCGTTCGTTTGCGAATTCTTGACGCCCCGGACGGAGAGCATTTCCGGCCAATTGCGAGACAGTGCCGCGGGATTTGTCACACGTCGGAAATGCCAGAGAGAGACTCGCTTCATTCGTTCAGGACAGCTGGAGGTATCAATCCGCGCGATTCGAGTCGCGATTCGACACGATTGCGGTGCTGAGGATCCGAGATAGCTGGAGTACATTCTCTCGTCGAGAACATGAAGCAGAGAGAGAGAGAGAGAGAGAGAGAGAGAGAGAGAGAGAGAGAGAGAGAGAGAGAGAGAGAGAGAGAGAAGCACGGGAGAGAGCGAAAACTACGGGTAAACATCCTCGAGAAATACCTCCCGCGATCTGACCATTTGAACGCGTTCTATGTCACGACGTGGTGTAATGTATTATCGAGTTACCGGGTACTACACGCTGCGCTTTAGGCTAGAGGAGTGAGGCAGGAGGTCTCGATAAAGAGGCTTTAATCGCGACCTGGATCGAGCGTCTGAGACTTATAGCATTTTGGTGCCGTGGCGCCCCGTGTTCCTCCAGGGCGGTCTTCGTTGATCCTACATGAAACGATCGAGCGTCCGTGGCGCGGTTCGCTCTTAATGAAAAGTCGATCGTCCGAGACTGAAGCTACAGTGGCGGCGGCGCAGCATCGCCGGCCACGACGGAGCGGAGCACGACGGCGCATCGACATTTTCGGCGATAGTGCGACGTGAATGCGCGGCGCGGCGCTACGCGGCGCAGCAGTTTTACGATCGACCTGATAATAAAGGCGCGAGCTCTCGCGACTTGCCAGCACGGCCGGCCGGTAGTCGGTCTGCCAACGATCGGATGACTATGCAGCACCTATTAATATGTATAAGCGCGCGAGAAACGACACTTTGCAGAATGTAAACGCGCCTCTATACACAATCGTAGCCCGAGGAGCAGCCCCGGTGGCGGCATTATGAATGCATCGGCAATTGGAAAGTGAACAATATCGGAAGCCCCGGCGATGCGGCGTCGAATCGTCGGATTATCCCGCGCGGGGCACTCGCACTGTCATTGTTGATGCCGATATTCCCGGTTTCACCGCGAATATGGATCGCGCGCGGGACTGCCGCCCGACAGCGGAAGAAACGCACGTCGGGCAAAAGTGAGCGCGATCGGCCGCGCGATTATCCGCGCGAGCATTTTTCTCTTCACGTTGGGCGCGGGCTCGGCGAATAAACGCGATCACGCGCTGGCGGTCGGTGCGCGTTGAAAAGTGGGCGATATCGCGGGGCGCACGCAAAAGTAATTAAGATTCGATTCGCTCATCGGATTAGCGACGGCTCAAGCTTAACGAGCGTTTTGCGCGCTCGAGACGCGATCGTCCGGCGGTAATGGCGACGAGAGTGGCGCTCTTGCTCTCACGTTCTGCACACGTTAATTCGCGGAATAGACGCGTTTGCTCGTTACTATTTAAAACACGGCTTTACGCTGCGCGACAGGAGAGATGTCTATCCAGGTCGGGAAAAATGTCGCGCCTCGCCAGTAACGGTGTCTCATAATTACTGGGATTACGGGGTCGCCTCTCTTAACGAAGAGGAAAAGTACAATAGGACTTTTATTCTAATTACAAGGCATTATGGCCCATTATATTAATCTGCCGCTATCATATTCTTAACGTCACGGTCTCTCTCGTTCTGCCGGCTACTCGTTACGTCTTATCGGCGCTTTCGGTTTATTAAACGCGCTTAACGGTAAAACACATCCCCGTCGCTACGCCGACGCGCGCGCGCGTAGGTGCATTCAAATTTCGAAGCGTTGAATAATTCGCTACGCAATTTTTATATCGCGATAACCGCGAACGCAGGGATCAAAGGCCGCCGCCGCCGCCGCCGTGGAAATAAGCCGGATGAAAGTGTACGGAATAAATTTAATTAAAAATACACACCGTGGTGCGCACAAAGGGAGAGCTTTCGATGCTGAATAGTACATGAGGAGGCGCAGACTACTCGAGGAGGACTACACCGCGCCGGCTGGAAAGCGAGCGATACCGCGATATATCGGCGCAATTAAGTTCTGAATCGCCGGATTATCGCCGGATAGAGGGGCTTTTAAGTCTCCGGAGGCGTCGAGCGAGTCGAGGCTCTCCTCCGTCGCGAGAGAGACACACGAGAGAGAGAGAGAGAGAGAGAGAGAGAGAGAGAGAGAGAACCATAGAACTGCCGTTGCACTTTTTGCCCCAACCCGTTTATCCTGCCTTCATCCGCCTTAACGATCTTCTTAACAAATTTAATTAAGCCGCTCGACGGCGGCTTCTTCGCGCCGCACCGACTTAACCCTTGGTGAAATTAGATTCGCGCGGTTTTCACGCCGGGATTCACGCGAGAGCAACGCTGCCGCCGCGCCCACGCTCGCGCCTGCATGTGGCTAATGCACTCAGGCTCGCTCGCGGTGGGTGTTTTAATACTGCATCGGGATACGTACCGTTAGCGAACGAGCGAGCCTTCCATCTCAAGGTTAAGGCGGCTTCGGAGGGAATGAAAGTTGTAAAAGGAGGGCGAGCCGCGCGCGCGCGCTGCGGAGCGGCACGGGATTGATGAAAATCTCGTGATTGGAGTGCGAGAGTGCCGCGATATATCGCGGCCTGCACTTTGGGGTAATTGTTACGTTACAATGATACAGTACGGCCGCATATACGGACCGAGCGAAAACTGATTATTCCAATTGCCGTCCGTCGCGGAAAGTAATATTCACGCGCACCAACGTCACCGTGGGTAGGTGTAGCCCGAGCGCTTCTCCCCTTTCCCCCCCATCCTCTCTCTCTCTCTCTCTCTCTCTCTCTCTCTCTCTCTCTCTCTCACTCTCACTCTCTCTCTCTCTCACTTTTTCCCTTTCTCTCACTTGTATCTCTCGCAATTGCAAGAGTTGTAGTTCGGGCGTTAGGGCGCTAAGCACGTTTCATTCGAGGGTGATAATGAGTCGTGTAGAATATGAGAGTACGCGCGGGAATATTAATCGTTGGAAAATTAATAATCGCCGGCGAAGTTGTAACTTCGTTGCAGCGCAACGTTCTTTGTACATAATTAGAAGCAGCGCGCGGCTCCCATCAGCGGTTATTATCGAGAGACAGGATGTCTACTGGCGAGAGCTCTATCGCTGTCAACGTTCCTCTCATTATAGTCCGTGAAACTTGTTTATAAGTGTGTTACGCTGTACCACTTTGGATGCGTACATGTTTAATATACATACGTGCTTTCTTCTTCTCTCTCTCTCTCTCTCTCTCTCTCTCTCTCTCGTTCACTTTTTTCTGTCCCCCCGCTCTCTATCTCGCTTATTTTCTTCCTTCCGTCGCGGTCTTGACGCTCGCCGTAATAACGTGTAGAGATATCGATCACACTCCATATTCTGTATGTATTCAATCTGAATTCCAATTTTTGATGTCCCGTGCGAGCAGAACATACGAAATAGAATTTCGTCGTAATGCGATACGTGTCCAACGCGTGCTCTGCGATCCGCGATCGGTTTCCGCGACTCTCTTCCTCTCTCGCTTCTCTTTCCTTCTCGGCAATGTCGAAAATGTACGGCTCTTCGTGGCGCACAATCAGCACGAGAAATAATAAATCCCTTTCCGTTTCGTTTCGCGAGCGCAACGCGGTACGTACGAATCGCGCCCCAGCGGCTGCTGAACGCGAGAGTGAGTCTTTCACGTTCATTTCGCATGCACCGTGTACACGACGCGTTTAATTACCGCGCGTAAATCAGCGCGGGATTCGCTTTCAACGAATGATTATCCCGTTAAGAATTATTTCCCATGACAGATGCACACGTTAGGCAAAACGAGGCCAGCCGGTTGAACCGCTTGCACGCAACTTTTGCGCGACTTTTTGTAGACAGTGGAAAAAGAGAAAAATTTCATCATATGTACATATGTATATATGTATGTGTGCGTTCTTTTTTTTTCTTTTGCCTTTTCGGGACGCGACGCTCATTATTGCGTAAAATCCAACCGAGTGACTTCATCGTGTCAGACAGTTTTGACTGATCGCATGAAATTCCCGATGCGCAAAAACGAACGCGCGTCACGACGCGGCGATGTTCCAGCCTCGCCGAAACATCGCGCCGTATCGACGCGCAGCCGGGTGTGTGCGTGCGTGCGCGTGCGTGCGCGTGTGTGTGTGTGTGTGTGTGTGTGTGTGTGTGTAAAAAAAGAGAAAGAAGAAAAAGTCGACTCCGCCATCACGCGGTAACGTCGCAATTTCATTTCGCGAAACAGCGATGTAAAAGACATTACGCGGTTTTCGCCCTCGTTCTCGCGTTCGGCGCGTTGTAAAGCGACCGTCATCGATGTCAATGCGCTCACTGCGTCGAGCAATTACGGGGTGCGAAGAGAAAGTGGGGGAGGGGAGAAGAGAAGTCGATCATTTAATGAAATAACAGGGTCGTTCCGCCGAACCCGCCGTGAAATCTTCGTTTTACGACGACGGGCTGTAAACGAGATTGTAAAAAAAAAGAGACTAAAAAAAATTCGCGCTCGCGAATTAACGACATAGATTAGTTTCGCGATCATCGTCGTCGTTAATGATGTCGTCAACGACGACGATGACGACGACGACAACGACGACTCGACGTTCGATTAGTTGGATATGATTGCACAGTGACGGCGACTCAACTCGTCACGATCCAGACGCAATTGCCATCGGCCGAAATGCGATAACCCGCGATATCGAAATCCACCTGCGCGATTGAATTTGACGGCTAGTTTGGCTGTATCTCGCTCTCGTGGCGAGCCAATCAATTTAAACCGGATCCTCCCTCCGCACCACGCGGCCCCCGTACGTAAGATTTTTTTATTTCATATCACAGCTTTAGGTTTTTTATATTACAGCAATATCACAGGCTGAAGCGTGACAACTCGCTCGATAGCCAGTATCGACATTAGCATAAAAATATCGCTCAGCGACATTCCTCGCACACGCGAAATGCGGGAACGTTCGGGTATCATCGATCTAGGAGCGATATTTGAAGCGTCGTCGTGTTAAATTCAGACATGCGCTCATAAATAACATCGACTGAATAAAGACGCGGGGTGGACGCAAAAGAGATAAAAATATATCGCGGATTAAGGATCGACGTGATCGGCGCCGCAAGGATCCGCGGCGCGCCAATAAGGATCTTTCCCTGGATGCAGTAGCTCTTTCGTCGTCGGCCTTGGACTCGCGCCATCCTTTTTCGCCGAGAAATAAGAATCCCGAAGTAATAAGAGCCGCGGACACGGGCGTTACATCCTCCGTTTCCCTCGTGCGCTCGAGGGAGAATATTTTAGCGCACGCGAGAAGCTCGCTTTTTTCCGCGTGTGTCACAGCGCGTCTAATTTCTGCCGCAAGGACACGACGACAAGGGGAGAAAGAGAGAGAATTCTGACAGACAGGCGTATGCCCGCAGCACGTGCGAGCCCCGTTAACGACGAGGCGACCGACACCAAACAGAAAGCCTATTAATAGAAGTAAGCGCCGGGGGCAAACGAACCTTCAATCTGCCGGTTTCGAGTTTGATCAGGCAGTAATCCGTCTTGCCGGCGGCCAATAGCAGCATGGCGTCGGCGAGATGAGTTCGGAACCGGAAACTGATGTCAGTAGCACCCTTGGCCTCTTGAACCGGAAGATGGATGTAGCTCGCCCCGTAAAACGACACTGCAAGTTTAACAAATTTAATGCGTTTAGGTGATACAACGTGGGAGACCGATGGTGTGCGCGTTATTATACAGCGGATATTTCACAGGGAAGAGATAGAAGAGGACGAGGTAGAGGAGGAGGCGGGGGAGCAGAGGGAAATAGGAAAACGTGCTATTAACGGTGCAATCCTTCATTTTAATTTACATAACGTTGTAACGCTCTCTCTCTCTCTCTCTCTCTCTCTCTCTCTCTCTCTCTCTCTCTCTCTCTCTCTCTCTCTCTCTCTCTCTCTCTCTCTCTCTCTCTCGACAAGCCCACAGGCCGGTACTGAAATTACGTAGTTTTGTTGCAACCGACGGAGGCAGTTACGTCTTGCATTTTGCGTTCCGCTGACTAACGTAGCAATAATTAAAATATGAGTTTGCGAAAAAGGAAGGAGCAAAGAGAAGGAAGAAAAAACAGAGAAGAAAAACAGAGAGAGAGAGAGAGAGAGAGAGAGAGAGAGAGAGAGGAGAAGGAGGAGGAGGAGCGGCGGAGAGGGGATCGTGAGCGCTGCGCTCGCGAGAACATCGTATTTTTGCGTAAAGTAAGAAGCGGAGGTGAATACGTCGCAGTCGCCCCGCGCGAGATCTCATTTTTCCTCGCTGCCGAGGAAGAGAAATTAAGTGTCACTCGGGAAGTTTTATTTCGTTCATCTGTTTCTCCGATAACTTCTGAATTGCGAGCTGAAGTGGCTTTCTTCAGGGAATTTGATATATTTATCGTGCTGTGCCGCGGTAAATAAGTCGCCGACGAAGATGGACAACAAACCGGCACGATTTTGCAAATCTGATAAGCTCCGCGACTCGGTCTCGGTTCGGTCTTCGAATTCCGTTTATTCCCATAGATAAATTAGCTTTTCAAATAGCGGCCGCGTATTGATTTCCGCGAATCGTTCGAATTTTCGCGTGATTCATTGTTCGCGTCATTCACGACGCGAAATAATATACCGCTTCGTGCTCGCGCGCGCGCGCTCGCGAGAGAGAGAGCATTGTTTATTTACGATATTAATAAAAATAATATTTTACTGCCGCATGAGATCGCGTCTACCAACGTCCTCCTCGTATCGATTGTCGTCCGATTGTTTGTCGGGGAAAACAACCATCGGAATAAAACGGAATGATATTTTTGGGTAAATGCGGTCTTGAATGCCCAAAGGCTTTCTCTTGTTTTTCTCTTTTTTTTTTTTCATCTGTCGCAGCGCGTTTGAACCGTGTCGACCGAAATGAAAAGCGTCGCTGTGGATTGACGTGTTTAGTTTTAGGCGGTTAGCAACGCGGACAGATCGCAATCGCATGCGCACGCGGATTACGTTAGGACCGCGCGCGTCTGTTATTAATCAGGATACTTCGGAATTTATCCGCGGATTCGAAGTTTCCCGAGCTCCCGTTATATATAGCCGGGAGCCACTCGCTCGAGCCACTTCATTAACAAAAGCGGCAGCAGCGGACCTCTCTCTGGCGGCAGCTTGATGAATGAATCGTCAAAGTTGTCCGGGTCTCTCGTGCGTTCTTGCGGACTTAGACGCCGCTTTACAACGCTACAAATATCGCCTTCGCGGGATGGATAAAAAGTGATAAATAGGGAAACGGTGAGATCCCACGTTCTCTCGCGCGAGTCCGCCAACTTCTCGCGCCAAGCTCCAAAACCTGTTCCAGAGCACTTTAGCCATTACGGCGGTAAAATATTCTGGATTAGAGGCAGTACGTTCCTTTGAAACGATCGGGAGCGCGTAAAAGAAGCACGTCGATACATCGCGGCGGAGCCGATGAATGACCGGCTTGAACCGTCTCAAACGAGCAATGAGGAGAGATCCCGTATCTCGCGCGGCACGTCGACTCGAAAGACGTATAAAGGAATGAACGTAGTTGCGCGCGGCGTTTATTTCCCACCCCCGCAAATGATCTAAGAACGCGTTCAAGTACGTGGAATAACTGCACGGGCTATTAAGTACGAAGAATCTCCCTTTCTCTCTATCTCTCTCCTCCTGCCTCTTTCTCGCCATTTCCCCCACCTTCTCTTTTTCTCTCTCTCTCTCTCTCGCTCTTTCCCTTCCGACCGCATCCTTCCCAGCTAGCGGTGCATAGAAACATTAACGTCGACCGCGAATCGATCGTAGGTATTGCCCTCGGTGTTTTGCAGTTCATTGCACCGTGGCTTACTCAATTCGAGTTAGCCCAGAATCGCAATATTTGCGTACGCACAAAGGCGCGGCTCGATGCAAAAGCGTCCATGCCCGACGACCCCCTCGCGTCAAGCGCGAGGATTTTAATTCCCATAATGTCTCTCTCTTTCTCTTTCTCTCTCTCTCTCTCTCTCTCTCTCTCTCTCTCTCTCTCTCTCTCTCTCTCTCTCTCTCTCTCTCTCTTTCCTTCTTTAGTTCATTACTAAACGTACGGGCTAATTTGAATGAAACAGTTAGCTTGAAAACGAAGCACGATGCGCGCGATATTCCGCCAAATTTTAATTTCTCCATCAAGAGCATTAATATCATAATTAAAGAAACGCCGTGCCGCGCGAGATACCGTTGAACAATATGTGATTTTCTCTTCACACTATGTGGACACAAAGCTTCGTTAATTTCTAGAGTTTTAAATTAAACTTTGCGCATAATGTCAGACGAGCAAACGTTACTGGAGCGTCGCACAGCGGCGGGGAAGAGAGAGAGAGAGAGAGAAAAATATAAACGAATCTGAATATATACATGGATGTGGGTAATAAAAACGATAAATATGTAAACTACGTTATTTGGCGATTCATATTGTGATTTTTTAGATCGTCAACTCCCTCCCTCCGTATTATCGTTTCACCCGCAAACAGATGGTACGCACTTGAGATATTTAGATTAATTTCTGCTTATGTGTAGATTGTTATTCCAATTGTACCCGCCCGATGCTCAGTAGTGGCCAACACATTCGCTACGGTAATTACGGCTTCGGACGGATGTGTGCATGCATGCGTGTACAGATGTATAACAAAACTGCGAATTTCATTGTTTCCCAATGGGCTATTTGTCCTCTAGAATCGCTAAACATCGAGACGCGCTCTTGTACGAAATAATGCGTTACGCGAAAAGAGATCAAATTGATCACGCGAATACATTCGCGAGCGGCGGCTTTCGATAACGCTTCTAGCGTCGCAAGGAGAAATGCATTTTGCGTCGTGAAATTAAGTAATAAATTGAAACGCGCTGGCGCGTCCTTCCCTCCTCATTCTTTTTTCGCGGACATGCGCGGGCCATGCCGCGGAGTTGTTTCGCAAATAGCCCCCGGCGCGCGCGGCGTCGAAATCTCACTTTGTACGTTCACGTAGATGACAGATTAGTCGCAACGAAAAATTGCTCATCGCTTTTTTTCGCAAAAAGAAGAGAACAAACACGCGGACAAGTCGCCGTTGTCCTTATCGCGCCTTTGTTGAAACGGATGTTTTCCGAGTCGCGTGATACAAAGGTCGCGACCGATAGCCGATCCGTAACAAGCAGCAGGCTAATACGTCCGCAGGCGCACCTGTCGTTAATTACAAGCTAGACCGACGCAACGGTCTCGCCGTAATTCCACGGCTATATTTCAGATCGAATTTTCTGCGTTTTCCCGTTGATCGTGTACACGGGTTGCATCGAATTTCGCTAAACACACCGACTGACCTGCATCCGGTATGAAGCGGAGCAAACGCGCCGCGCGCGGCCCGCACACCGGGCGTTTCCCCGACGCGTTTCCCCGCGACTCCTGTAATTCCATTTTTCTTTGCTACGGGGAGGCCACGGGGAGGATTCCGCCGCGGTTACGTCCGTAAGCGTAATTGGCCAGCGGCGTTCGAGAAAAAGTGTATAGTGCATTAACGTGTGATGATGCGCGATGCGCGACTCGGCAAATGGAAACGACCCAGTAAGGTTTCACGAGAAACCATCGGGTATCCCGTTTCCTGACGATGATTCCGCCCGATGGATATCGGAGCCGTATGTGAAAAATAAGAATTAACAATTCACGCGGAACGCGGTCATCCCGATCATATTCAGCGCGATGCGCCGCGAGGTCGACGCTCTCTTTCTGATCTCTCTTTCTCACACGTATACACGCACACATGTTCGCACGTCATCGTAACGTCGTCGGAAAACCTACCGTGATATCGCGCACTCACAAAACCTACAAACAAAGCGCGCGCTGTTAGATGAGTCGGTCGTTTTACATGTACTGTCCGATTGTTTAGAACAAAAGAAAAAAAGAAGGATAAATTTACTTAACCAAGACAAACTCACGTCCGCCGCACGAGGCGAGGATGCCACCGATCCTGAGTCTGATCAAAACGTTTTGTCGCGTTTGCAATGTGTACGCTCCGCGCGACTACTCCACCTTCGTATGATGCAAACCGCATGACGGACGCGCAAAAAATACGCGGTCGATGCGCGACCGCGTAACAGCAGCGAATTTCTCTCCCTCGACGCGCATGTTTTTCGCGAAAATATGTATCTAGTCGGGAAGCGCCGGGACGTGTAAAAACAAACGCGCGATGCGTCGTTGCGCGCCGTACCGCGCCGCGAAAGCCTCGTCGCACGCACCACGCAGATTAACTCGACAAATGGAAAACTAATTAAAGCGGCTATATATCGCGAACTTGTTTCGCCAGGACGCGTGTGTGCCGCGGGAAACATGTGTAAAGGCCCGCGATCAAACGCGAGCGCCACGGATGCCGCCCATCGCGCGTTTCTCGGCTGTCGCAGCTTTGCGTTGAGTTCGTCGCGAGGATGGCGCGCTAAGCAAGTCGAATTTCATCGAAGCGAAACCTCCGTCAGCCTTCATCAGCCAAACGGCGTAATAAGCGGGAAGAGTTAATTTTCGCGTCTGATACGCGCACACGCACGACGTGAGTTTGAATTTTATCAGTGCGAGAATACGCGACGTGCCATTATTGATTGTTACGAATGTGACAACGGAAGAGCTCTCTCTCTCTCTCTCTCTCTCTCTCTCTCACTTTTTCTGTCTTCCTTCTGCTCTTCCCCCTCTGTTTCTCTCTCTCTCTCTTTTGCAACAGGGTTTGAGAACACGTTATAAATTTCCTCTGTTTGAACTTGTATCGCGATCCGACCGCTCGTTAAATTCAGATCGACCGAGTGAGATAGCAAGGCTCGGGGAAAGATGGTTCCGTGAAAACTCTAACGGCGCGCGGATCATCCGGTTTATTCTGGATGAAACAGCGAAGCGAGGCTGGGGAGGACGAGGGAGGGGAAGGGCAGCCGTATATCATGTATCGCGCAATGATAACGGACATGCCGATAATTCGTACGCGAGTGCACTCTGGTATATATTGTAACGGTGCACACGATGTAGCTGCGAGTTATTACTTCAACGTGATTTCCGCGTTCGATTATTGCGAATTGGGCAAATTTAATTAGCGACTTTGAAAACACTCGCGACCGTTTCTCTCTCTCGCTCGCGCACGGGGACTGTTAACAACGACAAAAGGAAGAGAGCAAAATCGATTCTCTCCGAGCAACTTTGCAATCATATTCCGACTATTTCACCGTTCGATCGAACGCACTCTCTCTCTCTCTCTCTCTCTCTCTCTCTCTCTCTCTCTCTCTCTCTGATGTATCTCGTCGCGTTCTGCTTAGCGTCGAGCTGACGTCGTGAAAAAATACAGTCCTTTCGCATTTATCGACGGCAGACGGTAGAGCAGGCGACGCGCGTATGACGACGTCGGAGGAATTTAAATGACTTATTTCGCGATATTACGGAACAATTTTTCGCTCGTCCTACACGCGCGCGCACACGTTCACAGGCGGAGAAATGGCTCGCGCTCGTGTAACGGAAGATGTAACGTGAATGTTTCATGATGCGCGTTCGCGGAACTTCCGCGTGATAAGACACGGAAACGGCGTATTCGAATTACCCGTGGAATAACTGTAAAATATCAGAGGAGCTCCGTCCGGGCGACTGTCGGAATACGTTATTTCAGAGCGCCGGAGAATATCTCGCTGCTCGCGCCGACCGGCGAGGAACCATCGACGGCGGCACGTAAAGACGTTTATCCTGCTGATGCGCCGACTATTCGCAGATTAAGAGTTAAAGACCGAGGTGTGCTCGCACTTGCGCGCGCGCGCTCCCGATATAATCGTTCGTATGCGGGGGTGTTTACGAAGAGACGCCGCCGGGTGCAGTGGTCCCGCGTATACTATTAAAAGCGCCGTGTGGCGATGTGTTGTGCGCGCGGCGGGGGTGGAGGGGGGGGAGGCAGGGGAAGCAAAGGCGGCGGCGGTGGCGGCGGTGTGGCGACCATTAAACCGCTCTCGCTATAAGTAAATTCGCGGGAACTACTCATGCCGGCGGCCATAAAAGTTAATCTTCGCCGTTCTCCTTCTCGCGCCCCGCCGCTATCTCGCCTCCGTCCCTTCGTCCGTCCGAATGGCGATGCGGAAAGCAAAATCCGTATTTCTTTCGACGCGCGCTCCCTCCCGCCACCCCCGCTGCCGGCGGAGAATGGTACCGAGGATGGATCCGAGGTACGATAGAAAGGATCGTGAGAGGTAGGGACGAAAGGGCGGAAAGGAATGGTAAGCAGGAGAAGAAAGAGAGGGGGAGAAGGAGATAGGGGAGGGGGAGAGAGAGAGAGAGAGAGAGAAAGAGAGAAAGGTCGGAGTCGCGACGCTGCGTCTTACCTTTTTCGTCCGTTTGGCAGTAACCCAGCAGAGAGGCTGTTACTGCTAAGAACATTAGCAGTCCCATGTCGGTGAGAAACGTTAGCCCCTTCCTGTGCATCTTCTTTTATTCAGCCACCCCGTCCGCGTTTTGTCCACCACCCGCAGCAGAGCCTCCCCGCGGACCGGCGCGCGTTCCCCTCCTCTTCCGGGAGCGCGGGTGAAACAGGGTGCACCGTTCTGACGAACGACCTCACGGACCGGCTCTTAAGGGATATCGATTTCACGTGACGGGGGTACAAAACGCTATTTACGGGGCAGAGCGGGCTGAGATTCGAACGTACTTTTCCCATCCATTTCTTGCTCGTACGTCTTCCCCGTCACGCACATCGCGGAATCTTGCCCTCCTCTCTCTCTCTCTCTCTCTCCCCCTCCCTCCCTCCCTCTCTCTGCCCTCTCTCTCTCTCTCTCTCTCTTTCTCTCTCTGTCTGTCTCTGTCTCTCTTTCTCGGTCCTGTTCCACCGTCGGTTGACGTCGACGAACGAATCGACGACGACAACGACGACGGTCGAATTGAGTCGCTGCTCCGCGGACGCTTATCGATCGTAGATCGTTGCGCCTCTCGCATCCGTAGGGACGTTAACGGCTGATTTAGTAGGAAAGTGCGAAACCGTCGAGCGCTTCCACGAACGTCCTCCGCGCGGCAGGCTGACGTATCTCCCAGGTTGCGGCGCGAACGGTGCGAAAGCTGGCATCTCGTTGCGCGTATTCCCCTCGGCTCTCGTGTCGCGCCCACCGATTCGGTCGATTCTGAAAGAACAGCGGTGCACAGGTGCAGAACAACGCGCAGCGGACTTTTCGTTAAACGGCTCCGCTCGTCGGCGACCGCCGCCGCCGCCGCCGCCGCCGCCGTGCTTCGAGCTTTCAGCACGTACGCGCTACGTTGCGGAAACCTCGCTCGAGCGCTCACTCGAACTGTGTGTGGGCAGGTGCGAGACGTCGCGCATATATTTCCATCGGGCTTTTTCGAGCGGCAACAGAGAGATTTCGTTCAAAATTGTCATCGCGTTGCGCAGCAACAATTTCGCGGTACAATCGACCGATACATTTGATCAAAGCGCTGTTCCGGACAAATATTATTAATATTATTTAATTATTTTCATTATGCTCGTGCAAAGCGCGCGGCACATTCCCATATAAATAAACGAGAAAATTTGTGGATTGAAAAATTCTGGGAAAATGTCCGAGAGAGAAAAAGGAAATTTAATGAGACTTCCAGGCGTCTTGTCGATGCTTATCGACGTGGGCGAGCTCGCGGAGAAATTGCCGAAAAATTCGTTCTATGCTAATCGCTCGGAAATTGCCCGCGGCGTAGAATCTCG